TGTGAAACATGTTTTCTTAGGCTAGAAACATTTGCCGCTGACCGACCAGAGTTCCAATGCCTTAATAAATAAATAAAAAACGTGCGGGGAATCCCTGGTTTTATTTTGTTTACTTTCTTTACTAGGAAGACAACCAATAAAATCAAAGTACGCAAGTCGCAACGCAAGGCGCATAACAATAGAAATGTTCATTACGCGCGTTCTTACTTGACCGGCCTGAACACGGAATAGAAAATAATTTTCTGTTCTGTGGGCCTGAACACGGAATAGAAAATACAGTGGAAGTGCCGCTCAGACATCGCGCGCTAGTCAACATGATGAGTACATTGACAACATTTTGGCACATTTGTTGTCAGAATCGTTCGATCCGTTGTCATGATTGGTTGTCATGGTTGTCTCTAAGAAACACGAAATATATTAGAAATTATGCCTTGTTGTAGTTGTTGTGCGGTTTTCAACTGCAAAAAAGTAAGCAGAAAAAAAATGTGTCTTGTGGTAGTGTATCGTATCATCTTTGAGTATTAACCTTTGTTAATTTTAAATATATTTGATTTTAATGTAAATATCACATTTCATTCCTTCATTGCAAACTATAAAGGGCCTTATTTTCATTATAATTAAGTTTAAATCTACTTGTTCGTTATGTGACGTTATATACAATACATTCTAGTACGCTACTCATTTAGGGATGGGACACATTCGTAAATTAGGTTCGTATCGATAATTTTTCATCATCATCGTTCAGAAAATTGATTTTTGGCAATTTTTGTGTATATGTAATTCATAAACGTTTAACTAAGATTGCATAGACACATCAACGTTTTAACCACACACAGCGTGCATCCTGTTGTGGTAGGTGCGGGTGGTTAATCACCATTTTTATTTTATAATCTTGTACATGATTTTTATCAGAGTTCCAAAAAGGAGAGTGACTCTCAATTCGAGCGTACATGTTTTTTTTGTTCGTTCGTCTCCGTTATTTTATAAACCGATTTTAATAATTCTATTTTTGTTGGAAGGGAGATAAAACTCTTAGGAGCGCGTAGTGCTTTTATATGTTAAAATCGAAATCTTCAATAAGAACTTGACCATCTCCAAAAAACAATAAATCTTCAAAAAATAATATAAAATAAAATTAATATTTTTCTTTTTTTTCTATTAGAACCTTTTTCATTACTGATCATTTGTAGGTATATCGTGTCGATAAATATATTGCTTACACGAATACAATAATATCGATATATTGAGATACCCTGCCCTAACTGAGTAGCAAAATAGTAATGTCTATTGGTACAAGCGCATACAAATATGACATCTATTTCAAAGGAGTTAGCGTTTTGAATAGAATGAATTTGTTACAGCGCCATCTAGCATTGAGTGGCTGAACCCGTTTGTAAATTGTTTTATTTAAGTTTTTTACACGATATTCGCCTTTATTGATTGTGACATGTGAAATGATAACAACTTTCGCTCATTGTTATAAGACTCAATTTTTAACAACATTTAGAAGATGATTTGCTAAAGTTGCGTTTCAACTTTTTACCCAATTATATAGCTGTTTTTTATGTGTGTAATGGACAATTTGATTTGCGAATGTGTGATTTTGGCGACACTGGTTTTCCTTTTGAAAGAGTGTAGGGGCACTTTTACTTAATTTTCTGTTCTGTGGGCCTGAAGTTAGCTCTTTCTAACGGTCGCGCATGTACAGTCACTAAGAAAAATTAATTTCTTTTTTATTAATGTTAGTAAAGAAAACTGTTATTAATCAAAATATTTTTCTCTCAAACAGTAATTATTCTTAGTATTTTTTTAAACTTAATTCATACATTTCTAGTTACTGAAAAATAACTGTCACGTAAGGTTTATTATCAGTAGTTTAAGGAAAACAATCTTTTTCGTTACTGCCGTAATTTAAAAGCCGTCTTGTTTTTTTTATTAAATCCTTACTAATATTATAAATCGGAAAGTGAGTAAGCTATTGCTTTAAAATTTTGAAGTCCAGATTAAATAATAGGGAATATTTATCCCAAAAAAATGTTCCCGAGGGGAAACAAAAATACCGGATAAAACCAATTATTACCAATTATTAAACATTTAAAAAAAAACAAAGTAACAAACCAGATGATGAACCTAGATGTGTGTCAATCATCTTTTCGCAATACAGAACAATCTGTATAGGTACTACGGGTACCAAATAGCGAATACCGGAAGCATTTCTCAGAACACACAGACCCAAACCCAAGTCTATTTGAAAAGTTCATTCATTCATAAATTGAACGTTGTTGATTTTCTGCAACAATGACCTTTTTGACCTACTTGTTTCGTATATATGTATATTTTTTATTAATGATATATATACATTAATGATAATATCGATCGTGCTGGGATTTTGCCTAATACACATCCCTAGTGTTGTTCATCGCCCCCGCCCTCCCTGCGCTCTGTCACCATTAAGTTCCAAAAATCGACTATTGCGCAGCCTTTCGCGGCAACTTCAGTCCGGCCAAATAAGATCGCGCGTACTGTATAATTGTGTTATTCAATATTGTTTATTTTTATGACTCTGTGCACGTACCTATTTTGATAAGAATAGTGTGTTCAATGTTATAATAATATATATTTATATATATATTTAGTGAATAAATAGATAGTGTTTAGGTATATTGATTTCTCCTGTAAACTGACCCGAAATTTTAAAGAAGGTAAGAAATATTTAATTGGTAATAAGTATACAGGGTGTAAGGGACAGCCTTCCGCAAACTGATAGGGTGGATTCAGTATATCGTCTTAAGTTGACCGGTACATGAAATTATTTCAGGAACGTTATGGGAATCCAATTAAACCGATTTGTTTCATTACCTTACACGCAATGTATCGCTACCACCGCAAACGCACGCAGCGAACGGCAGCGCTTTTAGTATTATTACTTTACACTATGGGCAGCGCCGCGACCTTACCTTTCGGACAAACGGTCGCGCTCGCGCCACGTTTTAATAACAATAAATTATTATTTAAAAGATAGCCGCATTACTTACAAAAGAAAATCTAACAATCATAACATGGTAACTGATAAATGATAAAAAAAGAAAAATGCGTAGGTACCTTAGAATCGCTCCGGTTTCCGGCTCTGGAAAGCATTTGTGATGCGGTCTTGCATTTCGTACTCACTTGCACACGCACTCACAAACACTTTTTCTTTTACGTAACCCCACAAAAAGGGGTCCAAATGGGTTAGGTCTGGGGATCGTGCTGGCCACGGTTGCGGTCCAAACCTACCTAAACTACGTTTAAATAGGAAAGCACTGGTAAGTGGTAGCGTCTCGTTACGTTAGCGAACCAATTCCAAAATCCACGTAGGTATTGGTCTTCCGGCGCCTTTTTGTCTGGGAACAATGGGCTGGTTTTCTAGCAAGCGTTGATAGGCACCAGCAATTATCCTGGAGTCTGATGGATGCCGACAGTCAGGATACCTACACTACTACACATTATCATCTCCCCATAATCACGCGCGCTAGTACGTTTAGCGCGCGTGATTATGGGGAGATGGTGGACTAGGTAGTAATTTCGCACAATTTCTACAACAAAACTTCACTACACTTCCTATAACTAACAAAACTTAACAACACTACTTACAACAAAACTTTTAAGCCGAATGCGCGAGCGATCCGTACCGACACACGCTCGCGGTACACAAACAGTACCTACATCGCACAATGGCGACTGCATGTGATGAGACACACACAAACATAAATCTGTTGTTGCCAATTACACGAAAATTACAAAATTTCGGGGAAAAAAATAAAAAATTATGCATGGTCGTAAATTATCATTCTGTTATTTTTTGTAGAGAAATGAATTGATTAAATCAATTTAATTCCAATTTCATTGTTTAGTAAATATAGAATAATAAAAGTGCAGTGTGATAGAAAGCTGTGCTTCCATTCCAGGGAGATTGTGTTTAATTTCCGGCTCGACTATCAATTCATGGCTATTGTGAAGCCATGTAAAAATGTGTAAGTAGTTTAAAAACTCGCTTGAAAAGAACAGTCAATTAATAAATTAGGTAGTAGTATTTGTAAATGCTTTAAAATTAAAACTAGACTAATCTTTATTTATTTTTTATTCAATTTATGTGCGCGACAAGATTTTCATTAATTGATTAATGAAAATCTCATCAATGTGATTATGAATGCAAAGGAGTTCCCAAGTTTTAGATAAATTTCGATAGTTCTAACATTTTCGTTTACTACCTGAGGTAACAAAAGTTAAAAGTTGGCAACACTGGTTCAATCGACAGAAAGGGACGCAGCTATTCTGTACCTACGTTGGACGGGATCGTAGGTACCTACGGCGCGGCGATCGGCGCGGTGGGCGCCGTGGCCGCTGCGCCGTGACCACGGTGCGGTGAGTTCAAACGACTGTAGCTAGGTAGAAATTGAACAGCTGATTTCATGCGTAGTTCTTTAGAGAATTCACACAACCATGGCGTATTTTTTTGTTTTAGCTGTGTTATTTACATTAATGTTATTCTTCATACATAGAATGTAATTATACATTGAAATAGAGGTGTAGGAACTGAAAAAAATGAAAAAAAAAATTGAAAATTTTCCTGAAAGAATTTTCACTGGAATATGATTCAGAATAAGGAGCTGATTGCACCCTGTTAATTTGTGGAGGGCTGTCCCTTACACCCTGTATAACGCAGTATTTACTTGTATATAAAGTACGCTTTATAATATCTTTTGAAGGAAACCAAAGCTTTAAAATTAAAAAACGTATCGAACTTTTTACTAAATCATAATTTCTTATATTTTTAATACTACCTAATTACTACTTAAATTAATTAATTATTATGTTTTTAAAACTAGTAGGTAGTAAAAGCTATCTTAAAGATTTTTATTTGAAAACTAATTTAAATTTAGGTTTTACAATATTATAAAACTGCAAAAAAATGTTAACCATTGCTTTTATTAACAGTTTATAGATACGACGTTATCGACATGTCCGGCCGAGATAGAGATATTGGAAGAAAATGGGAGTCTGGATCAGCAAAAAGAAAAAGAAAAACTGAAAGAACTGCAACCAACAAGGTTTTGAGTTTAAATATGATGAAGTTCCTCAACCAAACTGCATCTGGTAGTACAGAACCTTCTGAATCGATAGCTTCGACTTCTACACAACAAACGAACGAGATACCGTTGGAAATAGCTTCAGATTCTCTGAATACCGAGAGCGAACGTCAGTTAGACGTAGAGCTTGGATCATCTTCTAGCCAATCAAAATTTGACGCTGAAACTCTTGTGCTGTCATCAATCAATCAAGAAGAACAGATTGACATAGATACTCCAATTCACAGCGACGACGCCAGCGCCATAGTTCAGCAAGTACTTGTTAATTCGGATCTGGGATTGTGGACGTTTCCCATAACGGATTCACAGCGTCGTGACATAGTTCGAAGCGGTCCCACACAGCAATTAAATAGCGGTGATGAATATTATCCCAAAGGTGATGATCACAGACACTTTTCCAATTTCTATTTCTCGAGAAAACTAAATAATGGTGAAACTCAACATCGTCGCTGGTTAGTTTATTCCAATTCCCAAAATAAAGTTTACTGTTTTCCATGCAGACTATTTAGCAATTCACAAACTCAGGTGGTGCAGGGAGGGTGTTGTGACTGGAAACATTTAAGTAGCATTTTACATAGACATGAGAATACCAAAGAACATATGGCGCATATGTTCCAATGGTTAACTTTAGAGAAAGGAATAAATCAAGGCAAAACAATAGACCAAGAAAACGAAAGGCTAATACGTGAATCACAAAAACATTGGCACAACTTGTTAGAGAGAATAATTGACATAATTAATTTTTTGGCCTCTCATAATCTTGCATTTAGAGGTCACAGAGAATCTCTCAAGACAGGTGACGGTATTAAGAATTCCGGTAATTTCATAGATTTATTTAAACTGATATCAAAATTTGATCCTACTTTACGAGAACACATGAAACGCATTAGTGACAAACAACTTTCACACCATTATTTAAGTCACGATATTCAAAATGAATTGATCATATTGATGTCAAAAACAGTTGTCAATGAAATTATTCGTAAGGTTAAAGAAGCGAAGTATTATTCTTTTTTGCTGGATTGCACTAGAGATTGTAGTAGAGTTGAACAAATGTCGGTTATCTTAAGATTTTGTGATGCGTCAACTGGTACAATAGTTGAACATTTTATAGGATTTCTAGCTGTAACTGAGACAACTGGAGAATATTTAGCCAATGCTATACTGGAACACCTAGAAAAATACGACTTAAATATTCAAGACTGCCGTGGCCAGGGATACGACAATGGTGCAAATATGGTAGGTGTAAATAGTGGAGTTAAAACTCGAATATTGAATATTAATCCTAGGGCATTTTTCACACCTTGTGGTTGTCATAGTTGGAATCTACTGCTGGTAGATGCAGCGAACTCATCTATGGCAGCAAAAACTTTTTTTGGATTCATACAAAAAATTTATTTGCTATTTTCAAGTTCAAGCAAACGCTGGGATTTAATAAAAGGCAAATTAAAACTTACTATAAAACCTTTATCAGATACAAGATGGGAAAGTAGAGTCGAAGCAGTAAAGGCCGTATTATTGCAATTCGATGAAGTGATTGAATGCATCGAAAGCTTAAAAAATCAAACGGAGCAATCAGACACTCTCAGTGATTGCGATTCGATACTAAATGAAATGTTAAGTTTAGAATTTATCGTATCTTTACATGTGTGGTATGAGATATTATCGCGTGTTAATATAATTAGTAAATTATGGCAATCAGTACAAATTCATTTAAGCATTGCTCTTGAACATTTACACACATTTTGTGAATGGATAAAAGAGTATCGGGAAACAGGATTTGAAAAATCCCTGTCTGATGTTCGGAAATTTAACGAGCGAAGCTGTTATAACCTGCCAAAAGAGTTTAGGAATAAAAGAGTAGCCAAAAAGAAAAGGATGTTCGATTATGAAAGCAGTGATCAACCTATACAGTCTCCCAAAATCCGGTATCAAACAGATTTTTTTTACGCCATGATCGATTCTATAATAACCAATATGGAATTAAGATTTACGTCTTTAAATCAACATTTTGAAGATTTTGGTTTTCTCTATGATTTAAGCGCGCTAAAAAATATGCCACAGGAGCAAATATTAAAACACTGTAACGATTTACATAACGTCCTGCGTGTGGATGAGGGCAGTGATTTCCAACCATTTGAATTATATGAAGAATTAAATACAATGATCCCGAATTTACCCAACTACATTAAAGACGTGAAACAGCTGCTGTCATACATAACAGAAAATAACCTAAAAGAAATTTACCCAAATATTTACATTGTCATCCGAATTTTATTAACAATTCCGGTAAGTACAGCCTCTGCTGAAAGAAGTTTTTCTAAATTAAAATTAATAAAAAATTATTTGAGAAACACAATGAGCCAAGAAAGACTTTCAGCTTTGGCTGTTTTATCAATTGAATCAGACTTGGCATCTAGGCTGAATTACGATACCATAATAAAAGAATTTAGTAAAGTTAAAAGCAGGAAATTTCTGTTCCTTTAATAAAGAAGACTAATGGTTTTTAAGTATACGCTAAGAAATGTATATCTCCACCTTTTTATTTACAATTTGTAATTTTTCATTAATATTTTTTAACCTAATTTGTATTTTTCTGAATAAAAACTTGGCAGTGTTTGTTGTTTTGTTTGTTTTTATTATTTTATAAAATCCGTCTTTGGGTCGCCATAGAACAGGGCCTCGCGAAATCTGTCTTGCCCACATCAAATTTAGGTCTTGCCCCGCCGCTGCCAGGGGGTGATCAGCGGGCGACAAGCGCGGGGGCGCAAGCGCCAGCATCGCACGTATCACCCGTGCTCCGGCCATCATAAAGGCTCCTCCCTAGTAGGGGGGAATTGAGGGGCCTGCCATGAGGCGGGCAGTCGCCGGTGGGGGCCTGGACGACATGGATTTCCAGACCCCCTCCACTCAGGCGAGGCCGGAGTGCCACTGGGTTTTTTAGTGGGTATACCGGGAACGACTTTACCGGGGAGTCCCACATAACCCTCTCCCGTCCCCCGACGGGAAGGGTATGCGTAATAGCATTTTTCCCAGTGCCGGAAAAAAAAAAAAAAAGGCGCTTTAACCTCCGGGCCAAAAAAGAAAAGTACCAAAATGGAAATCACTTTATCACTGGTTAGTGGAAAATTTACTGCTAAATTGTCTCAATCTGTAAAGTTAGCTACGAGAACCATTTGATTATACAAAATTGAACGAACGTGCTGCATTCAAATAAAGTGAATACTGATAGAATAAAGAGATAGAATGCCCCAGTCGATGGGCTGAGCGGATTGACGCAAAATGCCTGCATTTTGCTTTTAAATACCAATCGAGTTCAGAAATCCAACATCGTTTCAAAGTAGGTCAAGTTTAGATGTTTATTTATATTTGACTATATTTGTCAACTAGATATTGATGACGTTGATTAATACCCCAGGCAAGTGTTTGACTGGGGAATAGTTAAACTATTTTGGGTAATATTAATACTGGTGCTTATCTCACGGTATCACAAAGTTGTATAATAAAGGGAATGGGGCACCGTCATCACGGCTCGTTTACATGGGTCGCGGGACGGGCCGGGACTTTTGAATTGAATCATTAAACTTACGCCAGAGTTGTTCCAAACTACAATAAATGGATAAAATTATCCTACGATAACCTTAATTGGCAACTACGCAATTATTCAGAGTAGTTCGCAGACAGTAGACATAAATTATTCGATCATTTACTTTCACAGGCTTGGTATTTAAGGCTCCTGTCATTTTACCCACAAAGTTTCCACTTCCAAAAGTTTTACCAAATTACATTTTTTTTTTTCATCTACGTAGGGATAAATAGAATTCTGAGGACTAAAAATATTTCTTTAATGGACGTCTTTTAAGGCGGCATTGGTTCCATTTTCAGCGCCAGTGGCTTCGCAGTGCTTTGTTATCCAAGCGAGTCAATCAAAACTTTCTTTTGTGATTAATATTCTTACAATTCATATTTGGAATGGAAAGGAGAAAGAAGTTGCTTTCCTATTCAAAAAGTTAAAATAACGTTGGTTATATGTAAAATGATAGATACGTGTTATACTCATGTGTATGAGGTAGCAATTTGAGAAAGGTCATTGAATTAGTAATATTTTAGGGTGAGGGTCGAGCGCCGGGACCCGGGATGACTCTATTAACCAAGCGTCATACACCGCTCTCAGTTACCGCGGCATAAGAGAAAATTAGCTCGTTTGGTTCACCTCTACTGGGTTTATTCCGGGTGGAAGAATATGCTTCCATTCAGTTTTATAAAGCGTAACCAAAACGGTCTGCTCATCTATACTAGCGCGATTGTTATAATGTAACCAAAGTAAATGGACGTTATAATAAATATTGTTTAGTTTCTCTAATTAATTAGGTTCTAATAAAATTTTTATTGTGTGCGTAGATTTTTACTCTCGTAAATTACCACAATATTCGTAATTTTATTCTGAAAACTAGTTTAAACCCTTTCTTGTAACTTGTGAAGATCAAACGGGAGAAGTAATGACGGTGTTTGTTATCACAATGCTTATTAAATAAATAACATCAATACAAATTAATTAATAGGTTTCTATAAAATTATGCTGAAATAGGTAACCGATCTTCAACGGCTTTGTGACATTTTGGTACTGATGGTGCTGCACAATCTCCACTTAATAAATATCACAGTTTAAGATTCGACACTCTATTATAGCAGCGGTACCTATTTGAAGAGTAGCTTGAACGACGCCATGGTATCCTCATTTTCCGGCTCTAGCATGTGCTTACGGGAACTTCGGTTCGCATCTGATACGGATCCAGTGGGAGGAAAAGCCTGGGTGTCGCCATTGCGAACACTACCCTGAGGACAAGGTGGATCGCGCGGTGGAGGTGTGCCCTGCCTGGACTAAGCCGTGTCCTCGGGGAAATGACCAACGAGGGCGACCTCTCGCTTCCGGCCTTAGTCGAGGCTATGGTACGGAGCGAGAGAAGAAACAGGGTGATTACCATATCTATTATTCTTGTATCCTAAAAGCTATAAAACTATTTGTGTATAATAAAGGTCATTCAAAACTTATATTAATGCTCCATAGTGTAAGATAACAACATTATAAGCCATGCAACAAAGTTATGGGTAATCTTTATGGGGTCACGAAGCTGTGGGATAATAAACTTGTATCAGAGTAATTTTATAGGATTAACTCAGGGTCTCACTGACCAGAGAACATTGAATAGGGTTATGTACGATGTTAGTGTAGCGAACGTATTTATTGACCCCCTAATCCTATATGGTGTGATCTGTTTGTAAAGGCATCAACGTCACACGAGATAATCCACGAGGCTATATTTTCCAAAAACGAGTAACCAAATATATCAAACTAATACTGAAAGTGTTTGTTTTTGTAATAAAGAAAATGGTCGTCCCATATTTTTTTTTATGTAATTGGTCGGCAAACGAGCAGACGGATTACCTGATGGTAAGCCTTCAACGCCGCCCATGGACACCCGTAACGGATGATTTACGAGTGCGTTGCCGACCTTTTAGGGATTAGAGATTTGGAGATTTAGGGATTGAGGAGGGATTGGGGGCGGGGAAGGATTGGGCCTCCGGTAACCTCACTCACACGGCGAAACACAAAGCAGTGGTTGTTTCACACCGGTCTTCTGTGAGGCCGTGGTAACACTCCGGTCGAGCTGACCCATTCGTGTCGAAGCATGGCTCTCCCACACTTCACTCCACATTCATGTACCTTTTTTGTGAAAGGAAAATCATCAAATGACTTCTCCCATCCAGGATCGGGCGGCGGGGAGTGTCGGACTCTTACTGACTCAAAACCCCCCCGGCCGAGGCCGCGGTGCCTCATTGCGCTTACCCCGCAACTGCGGCTGTACATCAGCCCTATAGGGTCTCGTCTGTGGATAATTAATGCAGTACCTATCTTTGATTCAGTGGAACTAATGTGTTATCGACTAGAGAGGTTAGGTACTGCCAAAGCCTACGTCACGCGCCATTCAACAAAATAGCATTCATTCTCTTTTGTTGTCCTACGATGTGCAGCTTCTATTCACTTACCATCCTCAACAATGGCAGCGTCCGTTAAATTTTCGTTTAAAATTCGAACAAAAAAGAAAAAATATAGTGAAGACCTTGCCCCACCGCCTGATAAATAAAATTTACAGAATAGTCGCAAAAATGCCGTAGGTACTTACGTATCTAGGTACTTTCTCCTCGGAATATCTAGAAAAAAAGTATTAGCTTGAAATTGTACTTCTATTTAAAAGTCTTTTTTATGTGATCGGACAGCGGACGAACATTATCTTCATTTCATTTCATTTATTTATTTGTATTCCATAATATATTTTACAGATCTTATACAAGACATAAAGCTATACTACAAAATTATGAACCCTGCTAGGGCGCAGCGACATATGTAGTTTAAAAAAAGAAATCATATAGTAATGAAAAAAAAACATTAGAAGAACAAATATTTTTTCCAGTTAAGAATATTCAAGGAAATATTCAGAATACTTTTTTTAAATAACTCTAAATTTACCTTTTGGACTACCTAGTGGTTAGCAATCGGCGCCGATCATAGACACCCACAACACGAGTGCGTTGCTGAACTTTGGGGATTACATTTTCGGAGATTTAGGGAATGGGGAGGTATTAGAGGTAGATAAGAAGAATTGGGCCTCCGGTTACCCCACTCTTACGGCGAAACACAACGCCGTAGTTGTTTCACATCGGTTTTCTGTGAGGCCTTGGTATCACTCCGGTCGAGCCCAGTCATTCTGGCCGAATTATGGTTCTCACACACAAATGCTAACCTAGATACTACATATACCTGACCAGCAATAATGCAGACATAAAAACATACACAGTAATTTACCTAATGAGTACAGTATTCTCTCAGCTCTATTGATTTATTGTAAAGACTGACGTCAACAGGAATTATTTACGCAAAGGAATGATCTGTTACAAATACATACAACACAATCATACGAGTCCTAGTTACTTGTGTATTGTTTATTATACCTACGTGTGTGTGTCCCTATTGTATTAATTTTGCTTTGTAATATCTTCTAGAGAGCTCCTATTGTGAGATGAATAAATTATATTATTTATAAGATCATTTACATCTGGTTTATGTTTTACAATAATAATTAATTATGTTTATCTTAGAAAGCAATCTCCTAATGTTGGAATATTCAAAAAACGAATGTGGAGATGGCCGGAAAATTCTAAGAACGGGTTTGACCAAGAAACGTATATCGGATAAGAAGCCTTTGATATTTTTTTTTACTTTTTGAATTTAGAATTGTATACTGGATTAACTGAATTTAGAATTGTGTATATTGGTAATACGTAGTTACCAGGTCGTAAATCATTATGACCTCCTTGCATAATATGATTTTTAGAATTTATCATAGGCATATTACCTATTAAGCAGCCCGCTTCTCATGCATGAGGGTGTGGGTTCGAAACCTGACAAGTACCAATGTGACTTTTCCGAGTTATATGTACTTTCTTTGATCATTTAGACACCACTGACTTACGGTGAAAGTAAACATCGTGAGGAAACCTGGACTTATAATTTCTAACTATAAGTTTGAAATCGCCAACCCGCATTGAGCAAGCGTGGTGATTAATGCTCTAACCTTCTCAGTATGAGAAGAGGCCGTTGCTCAGCAGTGGGCATTTATAGGCTGAGGGTGGTGATGATGATATTACCTACCGTGAAGATCTCAACATGTGCTTAAATTGTCGTCAAGGTATGCATTAGGCACGCCCTTATTTATTTTTTGAGAGTGTATCAACAGCTTCTTTATGCAGAGTGTTAAAAATGGAATCAATATAGGTATTTAATAAGGGTTTACATGTAAATATTATAAATGAAACCAAAAGTCACAGTCACAGTCTCAATTTAATTGAAATTAGTGTAATTATGAAAGTTCTTTTACAACTTTTATCATGAACCGTTAAACCTATTGCAAAATAAAAAAATGCGCAAACCTCCCAGTAGCCCGCTTGTAATGTTATACAAAGAAAAGTTCCGCTTGTTTGTTTGTGGAGGATTCACACAATCACGGCTTATCCGATTAATTTCAAACTTTTACAATCGACTACAGATTATAGTGGCCAGGCAGGGTTGTTCCCTTATCTACATGGTTGACAACTAAATTGCGAAAGAACGATAAAAGTAAAACAAAAAACTTTCCCATTATATTTCGTTTTCATTTTTCTACTAGTGATACCTGAAAAATAGATATCAAATAGATTCAGGATTATTACAGCGTTTTTGCAGTCCCTAGATGGCGCTGCCGTAGCTTTAAAGCACTGCGGACTCTCAAAAGTTAAGTCTTTCATTTTTAATGTTGCCCCACACTAGGATTTTATCCTGTGTCGTGAGTGCGGTTACAAACATACAATTTCACATGCATTTTACTCCCAGACCCGGAACAACAATTTGTGGGTCACACAAAGACTTATCGAACCCGCGACACGTTGCACGGCAGCCAGTTGCCCAGCCACCGCACCAACCGTGCAGTCGAACGTCTTAATACAAATGAAGAAATGAATGTTTTAAATTACATAATTAGTACATAAATGTATGACATAATCTTAGACCAATAAAGCGCATGTTGCCCATAATTACGTTGATAACAGTTATCAACATCTAATTAGCAGTTATGGTATAGCCGTTAATTAATTACCTTATCAATAATATAAGAGATTAGGATCAATTATGTAATTTACTGATTGGTATAACTCTAATTTTGCACGGTTGACGCGGTGGCTGGGGCACAGGCTGCCGTGCAACTTTTCGCAGATTTGATTCCGGCACAAAATAATTATAGGACAAGATAATAAGTGTGGGAGAGCCAAGCTTCGGCACGAATGGGTCGGCTCGACCGGAGTGATACCACGGCCTCACAGAATACCGGCGTCAAACAACCCACAGTGTTGTGTTTTGCCGTGTGAGTGAGGTTACCGGAGGCCCAATCCCTCCCCTTCCCCTATCCCTTCCCAATCCTTATATCCGCAACCCCCATCCCCAAAAGGCCGGCAACGCACTCGTAACTCCTTTGTTGTTGCGGGTGTCCATGGGCGGCGCCGATTGCTTACCATCAGGTAATCCGTCTGCTCGTTTGCCGACTTATACCAATAAAAAAAAATTCTTTGTTTGATCCGGATAAGGTTTTTCTGGACCTGGGTGTAATGTATATGTGAAATATTGCATGTTTTTAACGCATCCACGACACAGTAGCAAAAGAATATTTGAGTGCAACAGTTAAAACAGAAAGTTTTGTTATCGGAGTATAGGAATACCATTAGGTACAAACTCGTATTTTCTTAAAGAAAAAAAGCAGAGAATTATGTTATCAAATTATTAATTTTAGATAACATAATGTATAGATCTGTAAAGAAAATTCATATAACTATAAAATAATGATTTAACTTTTATACATTTCCATCTAAAGGTTGTCTGGAGGAAATCACCTTGTGTGATAAGACCGCCCATTGTAATCACAACATTCGGTCATAGTATCCAATGTATTGCTACTTGGTGTATGTGTGCAATAAAGTATATGTAAATAAATAAATAAATAAATTCTTTCCAAAGAAAGAAATTAAAAGAATGATTGATGTATCGACGAACATGGTGAAATGCTCTACAAATTTAGTGCAGTTTATATATTCTGTGCACGTGCAAAATAGGAGCTGAATGAACCTATCAAACTTACCTGCATCGACGAATTAAACTTATATAAACGTCAAACAATCTTCAGCTCCATTATGTTCACCTGGATACAATCAGAAACTTCATTGATTGCACCATTTACTAAGACGAAAGCTCTCATTTAACTTGGGAAGGTAATTATTTATCTTCAAAACTCTGCGACAGAAGTTGCTTGAGATCAATTTCGTGTACGTGACAGGTGAGATACTTACAGAAGTCTCGGGGATATTGTTATCCTTATATCTTAAGTAAACAATTTAGTTAATAATATTAGATTGTCTTTCTTTCTGCCTCTTGCTACGCTGAGTCTAAACAAATCGAGTTTTAGATACGTTTATTTGATTTAAATTTCTACTAGCTATTACCTGCTATTTTGCTTCCGGTGAATTGGTATACCTTTTTCGCTGAAATGGTATACCTATATCCATCCTGCGGTCGGCGAGTTAGGGCAGCTCGCCGCCCGTCCAGAACCAGACCCGAGCGTACGGTGCGTAGCGTTCCGCGCGCGCATCAAAGAGCCAATAGACCACCACAGACGGGGCCCTATAGAGCTGATGTTCAGACGGGGTTGCGGAGTAAGCGCAATAAGGCACCGCGACCTCGGCCCAGAGCAGAAGAAGGAACAGAGGGGTTTTTAGTCAATAAGAGTCTGACACTCCCTCCCGCCCGGGAGAAGTCATTTGATGATTTTCCCCTCACAAAAAAAATACCTATATCCATCCTGCGTCTATATGATGTGTCTATATGTGTGTGTACATCTATATGATGTACTGCGGGTGTTTAGTCAGTGAGATGCTATCTATCGCCTCACCTGGGCAAATAAAATCATTTGATGGTTTATACCCCTCACCAAAACAAACGCCCAACTACATTCGAAAATTAAAAAAAAATTTGGCTAACAAGATAAAGCTTGAAGATAGACGAATAAACAAGCTTACTATGGCATTATTTTATAATGTACACACACACAAATAATATTGGTAGTACCTTATATAAGAACACTAGTGAGTTTGGCTGTACGGATTTTCTTCGGTGCGGACCCCGTAGCTATTCAGATATTGCTATTATTTTCGCTACTTGCTTAAGCCGACTCTGTGCTTCAGGGTTAGGGATCGGCTGTACGTACTCTCCAAGGAATAAAGGAGTTCCCAGATATCAATAACGAAGAATTGAATTTCCCTATAAGTAATATTTTAATGTATCCGGTTGGCTAGCTGTAAGTAAGGATATTTTTGTAAGTGTATTACGATAAAACATAAATATGTTTACTTACCAAACGTAGTATAGAGTGACTCCAGCTGAATTGACTCCAGTTGAATTGAAGATATCCGCAGGGTAGCTAGAAGTGGCTGGAAGAGAAGAGCTGAACATCGAGCTTAGTAGCGTGCAATTGGGGAGGCGTAAGTGTGAATGAAATCAGATTGATGATGATGTTTACTTATAATTATTAGTAGGTATGTTAACTTACACTTATTCAAAGGTGCTTTTTACTGATACTTTTCGTGATTAGTAACACTTTTTTGAGAGATTGTTGATTTTCAAGGGCCATTTCAGACTCTTACTGACTAAAACAACCCGTTTATTTCGCTTTTACCTACAACACCGGCCCTATTGGACCCCATTTGGAGGTCCGTTGGCTCTTCTAGACCCGCGCGGAACGCTACTAGTTCTGATAGTCAACAAGCTACCCTTGCTCGTCGTCCGCAGATACGCGCTTATAGTGGTCGGAGATTGTTGTTTAAATAACACTTGAGTAGATATAGCTTACCTATGTATATGCATATACAATCTCATGATAGCTCCCTTATCTTTTGTCTTTGTAAAATAAATTGAAGATAATCTATTTTGTCAGGAAATAGGTATCTTTTAATTGTAGTTACTAACCATCTACATTATAATATGTAGGTAGATATTTACGTAAGTTACTTAAACATTGAGTGTTTATCTATTCGATAAATCAACGATAAACATCGCTGATAAAATCAAGATAGGTAGTTACTTAATCACGCTAAAAGTATGTTAAAAAAACCCATTCCCAGATATTATCAATGATTTAAAAAAAAGGGAAACAAAGTGTGTGTAATTTCTTTGACCATTGTGTCTATGTCGTACTAGTTCAATCTGCCATTAATTAACAGCCTAGGCTGTTTACGCAGTACAATCTGGTAGCTGTTTCTTTCTTTCCCATAGAGGGTCGATTTCTGTGCGGGTCACAGTTCTAACTCAACTAAACCAGCCCATTCTACATAGTAGTTCTCAAGGCTCGGTTTCAGTGAAAATCTTTTCGCTCATAAAGTAACGGCCTGTAAGAAAAAATCTGCCATTTGAATAAATGGCTATTGATTCAGATCATTAGTTACGTGGTCAATAAAGCTACTCACGCAATACCATTTTATTTATTTATTTACATGCACATTATATTGTAAATACACTGTTTACATCTGGATCGAAACGTAACTAATATGTGCACACATATAGAGACAAAAAAGTTTATAATAAATATTCTCAGGTTAATAAATACTAAAATATAAATATTAGATTTGGATGCTTCTACTGGAGTCGGAATCATCCAACCCCAGCCTACTATGGAGGATGTATTTTACTCAAATAGTTATGCAAATACTTATTAATTTATAGGTTAAAAGATTTTCTGCAAGAAAAGGTCAACCAGCACAGGAACGTAACGACAAATGATTTAATAAATACCTTTATAATATATTAAGTAAATAGCAGAAGGTAATATAGTAAGTAAGTGTGTATATGTAATGCATGTATCTTTTCAAACAATCATCTGATACAATGACACGCCATACCTGATCACACGCATTCTGAAGTACTTATTTGTGCGATATAATGGTTATTCTTGATCCACTCAACGCAGTTTCTTGCATGAGACTGTACCAATAAATATCCGAAAGAAATTAAGTTTTTTTTTTTATCTGAAGATCTTTTATTTCATGTCAATCAGTAACAAGTTACCGGTGAATTACTGAAATATATCTGATTAAATTCATTTCTACGATTTAATCGATTTAATCAGAATGAATCGCGTGTTTTCCTGAATTTGTGGTGATGCCACTGATATAACAAGTTATCTACTATATATGAACTGTTGATACTAAACAATATTATATATATTTTCTTCAAGTAAATATACCTGTACTCGTTTATGTGTCTTTACGTTAAGTACATAGACATAGAGAACTAAAAATGGCGCGGTTTTTAGTTGCACTAGTTTTAACATTAGTTGCAGTGACTCTATCCAAAAACATTCCAGATCCTAGCGATCTTGCTTTCGTCCTAAGTGAAAATGACTTTGAAGATTACCTGGATTCCTGGCTTCAACTCAAGACAGAAGCTAATCGATTGTCAACTGTTTTCTTCAATTCCCAAAGCGGTAAGGATTGTTTAAATTTTATTTTACCTTTTGTTTTCTGTTACAATTTGAATATTTATGTATCAAGAGGCATCGCTAACAACTTGAGATTTTTAGATACTTAGATATTTAGCTACTTTAACCCAAATTAGAAAAAAAAGTGAATATTTTTCTCATTATCTGTTTTTTTTTAGTTCAGCTAAATGTTTCTTGGAATTGTTTATAGGTTGCACATTGGATGTAAATGAAGACCTTGGACAACCACAACCAGTGTATCTAAACAATAATACTTATTTGACGCCTACTGGTGCAACCGGGAAGATAAACCTTTACTCTGGAGAACAGGTTACCATTGCCTGCCCGGGATCCAAGCGCTCTATCCTACATCCTAATGTTACTGCTTCTGTAGCAACAGCTGTAAGTATACTGTCCGGAACCTATTTCTGTCTACGTCTTTATAATCATTTATTTTATGTCTTAAGTCGGCAAACGAGCAGAAAAATTACCTGATGGTAAGCAATCAGCGCCGCCCATGGACACTCGTAGTACCCAAGGAGTTACTACAAGAGCGTTGCCGACTTTTTATCGGTTACTTATTAGGGATTTAAAGATAGGGGATTTGAGGATTGAAGAAGGGAGAAGGGGGTAATAATTGGGCAATTTACTTTGCTTCACCTTGATCAAGCGTGGTGATTACCCAATGCTTAAAACATTATTTGTGCGAGAAGAAGCCTTTGCTCAGCAGTGGTCACTTATGGGCAGATGATGATAATTTCTTTATTATTTGCTCTTTTCTTTCACTTTTTTCTGTCTATCTAACATTTGTGCTAACTGGAAGTAAGTTGTCAGTATTATTGCAAACAATACTTACCATGCAACGTTTAACGTTATAAACCTCATAAGAAGCATCTTAATTAATCAATTTCTGAATCCAAATTATTAAAAATCCACAAAAGTTACCAAAATGTTTCAAATTATTTTTTTATTTTTGATAAATTGCTGACTTTTTATTTAGATAACCATACGAACTGCTGACAGGGATCAAATAAAAATGAAATGATATTAGCCAACCTTCATAATTCGATGAATTCTATTGGTTATTTCAGACAGCTGTGTGTGTAAACAATGATCTAGTGTCTGGAGCCGGTTGGTTAAACGGTACCGGGACGTTCAGTGGACTAACTTGCTCATCGCATCCAACGCACGAGGCCGTAGCCACCAATGAGACTTGTTATAACAACAATCTTGTTATTAGGTGAGTACCTATACATATCCACAAGTTACTTTATGATTTGTCGTATTAGTTACTCGTACTTAGCTTCGACGAACAATTTATTCAATTACCAAAAATATGACAAACAAAACAAAACTTCATACCTAATAAGTAAAGTTTAATTATGATACTGTTTTACATCTAGTCTTATATTTTACGAGACAGATTTAAGGCATATTTCGCAATGTCTGAATAGCCTCAATGTACAGATAAATTTGAATAAAGAACGTAATTAGTATGGACTGTATGTCACACAAGTCTATCGAGTGCTTAAATGAAGGATGTGAAGTAGCTCTTAGTCAAAGAAAAACAATTAGATAGTCTAATTCAAGATTTTTTCGTTAAGCCTATATCATTTTTCCTTTTTTCTATCTTTTAGAGTTGGTTTCACTGTGGAAGGGGTGTTTTATCCCCTTTACTGGTCTTGCTTCGATGAACGTCGCCTCGAAGTTCTTTATGTGTGGTACGAACAAAACCCTCAAAACGTTGTCTTCCAATCTGGTATTAGCAGACCTAATTTTGCAGGTTAGTGAAAAGGTTGAAAATATATTTAAACTTTAGACTATTTAGATAACAAAACTTTTATTCGCGATCTATTAAAAAAAACGTATGACCCAGCTGTTAGAAATAGAATTTGCGAGTGGTATTATTCCAATACAAAATAAAATAAGAAGGAATTTTAGGCTATTAAAAAGAAGAAGTGTTACGTACCTACTCCTTTTATTTCGTCAAGTAAGTATAGTGAACGAACAAAAGCGACAGACATACTAGCGTAGCATGGTGTGTCATGCCGCGACAGAAACCCTCAGTATCATACCTACATTTGACAACACACGACTTTTTTTTTTGTGAGGGGAAAAACATCAAATGACTTCTCCTGCCCAGGGTCGGGCAGGAGGGAGTGTCAGACTCTTACTGACTAAAAACCCCCTGTTCCTTCTCCTGCTCTGGCCCGAGGTCGCGGTGCCTCATTGCGCTTACCCCGCAACCCCGGCTGAACATCAGCCCTATGGGGCCCCGTCTGTGGTGGTCTATTGGCTCTTTGAGGCGCGCGCGGAACACTACGCGCCGTACGCTCGGGTCTGGTTCTGGTCGGGCGGCGAGCTACCCTTACTAGCCGTCCGCAGACCCGCGCTTACGGTGGCCGGAGATCATTTCTCGATCCCCGACGCCCGGAATGTCGCCTTCTGCGGCGGCTGGGGCGCGAGGAGGATAGTTCCCTCGCGCGCGACAACACACGACTAGCGACACAATTTTGTCTCTATGAAACCGATAGGCTACTGGCACGACACGCCACATCATAATAATATAAATTTCAAACTTAACTCTTAGACCTTATTTTTTTCCAGCCAGTACCTTCTACCCTGGAGTACCTGTAGATAACATGTACAAAGTAGCGACACAAAAAGAAACCATTGCCGAACTTGTAGGCAACGATCTGGCTAACAAATACATTACAAACCGGCAGTACTTAGCTCGTGGCCATCTTGCTGCTAAAACGGACTTCATCTATGCTAGTGGCCAAAGAGCCAGCTTCTACTTCATTAACGTTGCTCCTCAATGGCAACCCTTTAATGCTGGTAACTGGAACTCAGTAGAACAAGTAAGATTCTCATAGAACCTTTATAATAGTATCTGTATTCATATTCAACAACTTTGTGTCTTTCTGGTGTAGAAAATAAAGAGGCTAGAACTTCAAGCATTTAAATTGTCAAAACTGTAAGATTTTTAATTTTCATATGTAAACTTGTTTACTAGTTGAAACAATTAATCGCATCGTACTACCTTAACATACTGCTGCATAAATTCTTTTCATCTTTAACAGTACTTGCGTGCCCGCATCGGCCAAGCTGGTTATAACACCGTGGTGTACACTGGCACATTCGGCGTGTCTCAGCTACGTGACGAGAACGACCGCCTTGTCGATGTCTACCTGTACACCGATGCCAATAACAACCCTCAAATCCCTGTGCCCCTCTACTATTATAAGGTACCTAATCATCTTTTAATCATGTCAGATAAAAGACATCCACTTTCAAATGGGGCTATACACACCTAAATTTTGAAAAGCTCTGTAGGTGAAGTTAAATCAAAAAACTAACATCTTGTAAATCTTGAATAATTTTATTACCCTATATGAATCTTATGTTGCACACGTCTTCAGGTTGTCTACGACGCAGGCCGTCGTCTCGGCACAGCGTTCGTAAGCATCAACAACCCTTACTACACGGAGTCTGAGGTGCGTGCTCTGACATTCTGTACGGACCACTGCCGTAACAACAGCGCGTTCAGCTGGCTCAACTGGCAGCCTGACCGCATTGATATGGGTTACAGCTTCTGCTGCACCGTCGATGACTTCAGAAGGACTGTCCCCCACCTTCCCGCCTTCACCGTAACTGGTCTTCTTAGTTAAACCTATAAATAGTTACTTGTTTAGTAATTTTAGCCGAACATATACTTTGATTATAATAAATAGAACTATAAATTTAATAAAATTGCAAAACATCAAAGATTTTTTTAAATTGTTTTTTTTTGCATCTCCGTTGTCGATTTTGATGGAATATTATTAAGTGCTTACGTAATCTGTAATAAGTGTTTTTAGCAGTATTTATGACACAAAAAGGCCAAATCATCCTCAGCAGTATGATGACCCAAAATGACCCAATTGCAGAAACGTACTTACAACTTACTGGTGTTACGGTTGTCATTAGACGGCATCAATTGTTGTCCATAAAAATACTAATTACTAGAGAGACTATTAAAATGTTTTTTAACCTGAGAAAGTACGTTGTGTTGATTTGCTAGTAGGTACGACAAATTACGGTTTATCAGTTATTTACAGAGAAGGAAGGGGTACCGTCATTTACTTCATAGACAGTAGAAATTAGACAGTTTTCTGCAAGTGTGCAAGTCTTGCTTCGATACGAATGGGCGGACTCGACAGGAGTACCTAGATAATAAAAAAAAGGTCTCACAGTAATCCGTCATCAAACTACCCTTGTATTGTGTGAATAACATTAAACCACCTTCCCTCATCCCCGCTTCCCCCCACTCGCCTTTCTCCATTCCCATCTTCAAAACTCCTAATAGTCAAAACCCATAAAACCTCAAAAGACCGCAACGCAACTGGAACTATCCATGGGCGGTGTCGATAGCTTACCGCAACCCATTGTTTTGTTTAGCCAACTTTGTTACTAGGTACCACAAGTCTATCTACCTAAAAGTAAAAAAAAAACTATATCTTATCTAGATCTTTCCTCAATATTATCTATACCGTTGTAGCGACATCTAGCGCACTACATAAACAACGGTACCAATCACGAGCAAGAGTCTACATCGCGCTATAAGAGTTATCAACACAATTAGCACCCATACAGATATCTCGACAACAACCGTCGGGCAGTAGCCCACCAGGCACGAACACCTCGCCTGGTCGGAGGATCCTCCCTTTTCAATGGAGGATGAGGAACTTTCCACCCTGTTCCTCATACCTCTAAACTGGTGACCCCGAGCATGAACATCAAGCAGCCTTCGTTCAACTACTTCATAGCCATGACATCATCACTTTCTCGAGCTTTCAAGCAGCGAGTCTACTGTAAGCCAGCTTCCACGGCTACAACGGGTTCCCTGACCACCAGCATGCAGCCAACGCGCATTCCTGGTCAGCACCTACAGCCTCATCAGCAACTTCGGCACAGCATACTGCACCGGCCGGTCAGCAAGCAGAGACGTACTCCCTCTCCTGGTCGACGCAGCAGCCAGCCACTCATCAGCACTGCATCACCCCGACGCACTGGGGCATCCCCGCAGACAGTTCCGACTCACCGTGAACTATGCGGCATCGGTTCCGACACACTGGAACCATAACTGGCTCGACAAGACATGACATTCAGATGACTCAACCAGCTAACGACCTCCGGTCTCGGAGGGGAGTGATGTAGCGACATCTAGCGCACTACATAAACAACGGTACCAATCACGAGCAAGAGTCTACATCGCGCTATAAGAGTTATCAACACAATTAGCACCCATACAGATATCTCGACAACAACCGTCGGGCAGTAGCCCACCAGGCACGAACACCTCGCCTGGTCGGAGGATCCTCCCTTTTCAATGGAGGATGAGGAACTTTCCACCTTGTTCCTCATACCTCTAAACCGTCATTGCGTTTACCATTTAGGTTCTTCCTAAAAATTACTGATGTAGATATATTCACGAGTTTCAGTTTTCATTTACCTAATTTAGTTTTATATTATTAAAAATACAAATTGACGATTACTTTAATTTGCTCGATATTGAACTGTTCAACGGCAGCGGTTTAATCGCACGTTTTATTTTAAAAGGATACAGCGAAAATGACAGTCCCTACGACTTTAAAAATTGATTGTATAAATAATTCTTATTTAATTATTTGTTTTGTTTATTGTCATTGGTATATTTTTCCGTATTACTTTATCTTACTAATGTCAAATGAAATATACTTACTGTATGCTCTATACTTATATTAATAATAATTGGATGTCAGATTTATGTACTATAGATACCTATATTATATAGTCTAAAATATGCTGATTGTGTTAGTTAGTCTCTCACTGTACCTATTGAAATTGTAGCGACATCTAGCGCACTACATAAACAACAGCACCAATCACGAGCAAGAGTCTACATCGCGCTATAAGAGTTTTCCACACAATTAGCACCCATACAGATATCCCGACAACAACCGTCGGGCAGTAGCCCACCAGGCACGAACACCTCGCCTGGTCGGAGGATCCTCCCTTTTCAATGGAGGATGAGGAACTTTCCACCCTGTTCCTCATACCTCTAAAAAATAAAAAACTGCCAAAGCACATCGACCTGATGAGCAATGTGTGAAATCGACAACGGTGACAGTTCGGCCCGGCCTACTGTCATCATTTTTGTGTTTTTATTCTAAATTTATAAATAAGTATATCCAACGCGACCGGACCTCACAAAAGACCTTATCAGTTTCATTCTTCCCATCTCTAGTAGCACATCACGACATCACGTTGAAATTGACAGTTTGATAAAAAGTTACTAGGCGCGTTCCATCGTTCCATATAGTAGAAAAGGTTTTTATATCAGCTATCTCTTTTTTGCCCTATATTATTGCGATAAGCAAATCTATACTCATGCTATAAATGCTAACGCGATATTTGTCAGCTTTGGAACGTGTAAAAATCCAATGAACTGGAAGATTATTCGTTCTAAAATTTCAGAATTTTGAGCTAGGTAACTGATAAGCCGGTTTGTCTAAGCCTTATTATTATAATATCTTATTTTAGAGGGAAAAACTAATCTTCAAATCTTTACGAAACGACAAGCCATGGCTGATGAAACGAGATCTGTTGTAAACGAAGAAGATTTAAATCAAATAAAAGACAGGATGAAGCTAATCGTTAGTGCTGATCCATCACAATATCACAACGATTATTCACTGCGAAGATACTTGAGAGCATTTAAAACAGTCAACAATGCATTCCAGGTAAAGACTGTGTTCATTATTATTATTAACATTTAAAACGATTTCGTTCTGTTTGTGTAATTAATCTTGAATTACAATGCTGTTAGATATCCATACTGATAGCACCAAGCTCCTGGTGGCAGATTTGTTATTCTAGCATAATAGCTACCACTCAGAACGCCCACCAAGCTATGAACCCTGTTTAAATGTTAATTTAATTAATATTCTATGTTCCAGGCCATAATAAAAACAAACAAATGGAGAGTAGAGTATGGTGTGAACGAGTTAAGTGAGAATAAAGAGATAATAGAAAAATATTCCAACAAAGCAAGGGTACTTCGACACAGGGACATTATTGGCAGACCAATTATATACATTCCAGCTAAGAACCATAGTTCCAGCGACCGAAACATTGATGAATTGACCAAATTCATTGTCTACTGCTTGGTAAATAGAATTTCATATTATTTCAAATTTAATTAGAGTCATCGTCATTTCATCATTTTTTTTTTAAGGGAGGGTATGTCAGAATGTTGCTTTATTATTATAAGCAACTTCTAACTTATAATTAAACAGTGATGAGTCCTATTGTAATGGGTGCCAATTAATACCAAGCAAGGCTCATACTCATAAGTACCATTTCAAATGAATGTACCTATCTCATTTACAGAATTATTTAAATAATTAAGCCTAGCCTTTTTCATTTATTTTTTTACAGGAAGATGCTAGTAAAAAATGTTTTGAAGAAGTCATAGATAATTTGTGCATAGTGTTTGACTTAAATGGATTCACACTGTCCTGCATGGACTACCAAGTGCTGAAGAACCTGATCTGGTTGCTGAGTCGGCACTATCCTGAGAGACTTGGTGTATGCCTGGTCACCAATGCACCAGCCTTCTTCTCTGGATGTTGGACTGTTATAAAACAATGGTAAGAAAGTAAAGCATAGTATTTGTAAAAAAAATATTCAAATAAATAAATGTTCTATTCATTAACACGTTAAGCGCCATGGGGGTCACCGGTGACCTCCGTTAGCGAAGGATTTGCCTTAAACAGTTTTCTGTCGGCAGTCAAAGGCTTAAATTTCAAATGTGCTATTTTTACTGTATTTTTTGTTTTACAGGTTGGACGAAAATACTGCCAGTAAGGTAGTATTTGTAAACTCAGAGATGGATCTGTGCCAATATCTGATACCAGATATACTTCCTGATGACATGTAAATAACAAACATAAAACTGACAAATGCAATGCTTAACGGTATGAATGTCTAGATTTAATCATACGTGTATCTTATAAATGTATATATTTTAAAATGACCATAAGGCAAATTTACCAAAATTGTAGTTTATCCTCATTTTATCTGCTGACCACATAACCAAATCAAATATTGAATGTATTTACTTCCGTTTACATAGTACATAACTAGTATAATCAAAGTTTAATGTCTGTAAATAGTCACCCACCAAAAAGTATAACTATCCACACAGTATTGAACAATTAGGTACAAAGCTTTCCTTAGATTAATGTCTGTGTTGACCTTATTGTAAACTAAACATTAAAGTAACCCTCTTTTTCAGATACTATTTCAAAATCATAGTTTTGATTGCTTTTTACTTCTTTTGTTTCTCATTTCTATTTGTTTATCCTTCAACTTTCCACTCATGGCCACACAGGTCCTAATTGTTAAATATGTGTTACAGTAGTAAAATATTTGCTTTACACTATTTTAAACATACAATACTGTCCTTGAGTTATTATCTGCTAGTCACTTTGTTAGAAACTTAGATAAAATACTTGCCATACAATTAAATATGTACATGTTCAACTAGTCTCCTTTTATAGTAGGTACCAATTAACAAAGACATATTCAAGCTTATTTTCTTCAAAAGAAAAGTTTTTAAGTGTAGAAAATGAGATTTTAACACCAAAAAGTCAATTAATCATTGTAAATGAGATTTGTTTTAATAGTTTTTAATTTCAAATGTTTAATTAATATTATTATGAATTTATATTATGATTTAAACATAAACAATGCTTTAAATTTATTCATTCCAATAGATTAGGTTTGTTGTTGATAGATTTTATGACTTTTATCACTTAATTTTCTTTTTGTGGAAACACCCTGTTATAAGTTTTTACTTAATAACTTAATAAATAAAAAGTAGTTGTTATTATTGAATCAGATCTAATTTAGCTAAAAGTTTGTTAAATATTTCTGTCACAAATTCTAATACCTATTTTAACACCATGTAGTTAAATCCTGAAAATGTTACAGGGTGACTTGGTAACAATAAGAATTTATTAGGTTCTTAACTCCTTATAATTTAACGTTAAAATATGTATCTATGTCTATGTTAGGAAACATATAGCTTAGAAAGTAAGTATGTGTCTTCTTATGTACAATTTAAAGCTTATGCCATGTGTCATGTGTATTTTAAACCTATTTATATTTAATTTGCGTTATCCATTACATAAGTACCAACTTTCTTATTTTGTTATTCATATCAACGACTTTATTCACGTGAATTAACTGAGAAAAGCTCTACTAGTGCAGTAGTCGACCCGCGCCCGCTGCGCATAAATGAGAGTCCCGTTGTGACTTGAAATTAGTTGGGCTTTTGTCAATTAATTTACGTCAGTAAGTCGTTATTTTAATAATATACCTAGTATCCTCTCACGATAGTTAGGTACTATTCAAAAATATTGGCAATACAAATAATAATACTTATACGTGGATGTATGCTCTCTTTGTTCTCTATACATCCATAAAGTGTCTCACGTCGTGTAGGAGTTATTTACGATAGCACCATTCCATGCATTTCAGATGTCTGTCGCGCTTATAGTTATGTAACGAGATTTTATTCCTGAAGACTATTGTTTGTTGTTCATATTAATTTCCTGTAGTTATTTTACGATTACTTAGTACCTGTTGAATGCCATTAAATGAAATATAATTTAGTATGTAGTTTCGTTATGTGTACCTGTGTACTTATTCTAAGTTTTATTTTGACGTATCTATATATTATTATATTATAAATATAAATAAATGAACAATCATCATATTGTTGTTTTAATTTTTATTACACGCCAGTTAACAACAGGTTTATAGCTTTCACCCGCGGCTTTGCACTCATGAACAATGTTCCCCAGGATTTTAAAAACAGTGTATAAAGCGATATCTCTACTAAAATACGCAAATCAAGTATAATTTATAGCCTATAGTGAAAGCATTTTGGGAATCCGACTAGCGCGGCAGCGGACACAAATTTTACCTCTAGTTTTTTTATGGGATAGGTCAATAAACGAGCATACGTATCACCTGATGGTATGCAATCGGTGCCGCCCATAAACACCCGCAACACCAAAGGAGTTACAAGTGCCTTGCCGGCCTTTTGAGGATAAGGGTTACGGATAATTAAGGAGTTGGGTTGGGATTCCGGTACCTCGCTCATACGTCGAATCAGAACGCTTTCATATAATCACTTATATATAGTAAACAACCCATGAGGGCAGACAATAACAGCCGATAGCGTTCTCTACAACAAAGAATCGCTATGCGATTGATCAAATACCTAATGTAACCAGTGGGCACTTACCTACTAACATATCGATAGTCAAGCAATCTCAAAACTGTAAATTCTTATCGGAAATATCCGAATAAATCTTATCTATCAAGGAAGCGAAATAAAAAGCAGTGTGTTTTTATAATTATTTTACTTGACTTAATAATTTTACAAAACAGTTATACAAACACTCGCCATACAAATGTGTAGCGAATTTTATTTGAATGCAGTATTCCTATGTATCGAGCGACATGTATTTCTACAGGCAGTAATCTTAGCCAATAGGACATGCTATGGTGCGTTTTAAAACCTTATGGACAATTATAAATCCTATTTAACGATAAATTCGTTTTTTTAGAACAACGCACCTAACACGTTCTCTCGGTTAAGATGTCTATAAATCCGTTAATGCACTGTTACCTAATTCTGGAATGTTACATTAGTACAGTTTTTGTAAAATTTAAAACTACAGGTAGTCTTCATTTCTTCATTCGTAATTCCTATTATAGAATACCTACGTACTAAAAAAAATAAGATTTATCACAAAAAAATACATTTACTTATTATAACTTAGTGAAATTAAAATACCATTTTGTAAAAATGTTTTATAAATACTGGTACTCGAATTTCACGCCCATTTTATTTGCATTATAAACCGGAAAAAGGTCCTAAAATTATTATTTATTGAGAATTTTTATTCAGTCATAAATGCCTAAAATTAATAAGGGTCTATACATAATTGGCACATTTTCTTAGTGTCACCACCATTTCAGTATACCCCATATTCAATAAACAATAAATTGTAACACAACATTTCGCAATTACAGCAGTGATCAACTAATTAGGAACATCAAAACTTATTTTGCCAGTATTTCTTGCGGCACCGTATATTATTTTGTGAGATAAAGCCTAGTGACAGCCTCAATACTTTTATAACCCTTCCTGCGCCCTTTGCTCACTCTCATCTTAAATTTTCGGCTAAAATGAAAAATAAAAATAATATATAAATAATAAATGATTTCCAGTTACGGTTTTAAGCGTTTCTAAAAATCAATGTACATTATATACTACTACTGTAAACAAAGAAAATAGTTACAGAACACAGCCGATACAGTTATTACATATTCAATATACTTTCATCTTATGTTATTGTTAACGAGCATTCATATTTCAAATGTATGTTTTCTAGTTGACCACTACTGTAGAGATCTACATATTCCTATGTAACTGTTAATTGCTGTGCTGTGTTTACATTTACCAAATTATCTTTAACTCCTCTGAAATTTGTTTATAATTTTCACAAAATGTTTAGACGGTCTTATTAATTCTCTTAATGACTAGTACTTTAAAAAGGAATGTACAAAAAATATAATCGATCGATAAAATTGGAATTGTTTTGTGACGATTAAACTGTAAAATAACAGTGTGTTATTGAGAAATTGGGTTGCATATGGTGTTGAAAACGCGCCGTGTGTACACACGTGTGTGTGTAGTAGGAACTTACGAGGAAATCCAGGTTAATATGATGTGTCAACTAATCATCGAGGGTATGTGCGAAGTTACATTGTCGCTGTGTATGTACCGACTAGTATATTAAATAGCTACAGTATTATATTTACATTATAACTACCATGGATAATGATATGAGGATGTAAAATGATGTTTATCTAATGTTAGCCGAAATCAGAGCTAGACGGCTAAAGACACAAAAATAAAAGCAGAGTAATTATGATATAAAACTTCGTATTTTGCGTGTTTACGTTGTGGTTTTAAATGTACATTAAGTACGCCAAAGAAACGTTTTATTTATTTTAATCGGGTGATATCATAAGGTCAATAGTGCTACCTGTATATTTCCTTAGAAAGATAACGCGAAGCTACTTAAATATGCATATTATTGAAAAGTGGCAGTGGACGGCTCCTATGATTACTCGCGCGGCTTAAGGGTACAATAATAAGTATGTATGTCAATTCCAATTGTGAGATCAATTCCGTGAAATAGAGTTTTGTTATTGTCGGAAATGGATGTGCTACTGTGCGTGCTAACTGTGAAGTTGGAATGTTGACATCACTTTCTAGAATAGTGATATAATTTTGTCATGTTGCTGATAAACGTATTTTCTGCAGTTTTTGAACGGAAGCAAAATACGCGAGTAATGCAGCCTACATCACAAATTAACTTTGAATCAGATTTCCAAATCTAAAGCATCAAAATTTGTATAGTTCAAATTGGGGGCGCTCGCGGTAACCTAGCCACGGGCCAAGCTCGGCTACATTCAGTCTGGTACAACGTATACATGTCAGCTACCGGCCGCGAGTACGAGGCCAGGCTCCGCAGCGCCCCGCGCATGTCGGACGCGGCGTAAGCTACTCGAAGATCCGGGCACGGAGCGGCGCCTCACGGGGAGACGAAAGCGAGCGGCTGGTGCGGCGCGGGGGGCGCGGGCGCGGGCGCGGGGGGCGCGGGGGCGCGGGGCGCGGGCCGCAGCAGGTGCAGCAGTAGGCGCAGTCAGTCGGCCAGCACGCTGTTGGCGATGACGGCCAGCTCCTCCTTCAGCGCGCGGAACGACGGCCGCTCCTCCGGCAGGCGTCGCCAACACAGCCGCATCACCTGCAACCACGCCACTCTACTTACTCACACACTCACCTAGGCAAGCCTCGCTACACGTGAGCTCACTCTCACCATTCCTACAACATTTACAGAGTGCTAACAAAGACTTACGTTGTATATTTCGTTGAGACATCCCTTCGGTTTCTCTAGGAGCATGCCACGTTGGACCATATCTGCTACTTCGGAGTTCTTCACGCGTCCATATGGTACTTTGCCACAAGTAAATACTTCCCACATTAGCACACCTGCAATGATTCATAGAAACATCCATGTAATTGTATGTAAACAACCTCTCAGGATAAGAAGTATTTCGAAACATCAAAACGACAATATTTGTAATTTATTCTTACCGAATGCCCAAACATCTGATTTTGATGAAAAACGAGTGTAGTTTAGCACTTCAGGAGGTGCCCACTTGATTGGGAATTTTGTACCGCCAGAACTAGTATACTGATCGTCTAATACATATCGCGCCAAACCGAAATCGGCCACCTAGAAGTACAAAAAAATACATAAATATTCTGAAATGTTTCCTACTAAAGCCAGGGTTCAAACTGGATGTGTTTTAAAAAAAAATATAAATATACCTTAACAACATTCTCGTCGCCAACCAAACAATTTCTTGCAGCTAAATCTCGATGAATATAATTGTGCCTTTCTAAATACGCCATTCCTTTGCAAACCTGAAATGAAAGTTCTTCTGTTATACAACACAGTTTATCTATTAACTATTCTATGTGATATTAATAATGGTAAGTATATAGGGTGACTAGAAATTAGGAACCGATATTTAAACACGTGATTGTACTAATTACCAATCACCCTATATCAGATAAATAAATGAGATGATAATTGCTTATTTTTTATTATCTACCCACTTATAAAACTGCCTCTTCAATCACTCATTAAAAAGCCGCATCATAATATGTTGCATAGGTTTAATGATTTAAGCATACATAGGGTAGAATAGGATATAGAGACAGAGGCAGCGACTTTATTTTATTATATTATGTAGTGATAGTGATGAATAGTTATACTTACTTGTATGCACATATCAAGCAGTACAGCCGGTCCGAGTTGGTCAGGGGAAGTTCGTCGCAGGTAATTGAATAGAGAGCCATGTCGCATGTACTCAGTCACTATGTATATAGGGCGGTGTTTGGAACACACGCCATACAGCTGCACCAAGTTCTGATGTTGGAGTTTCCTGTAATCAAATTGTTAATAAAATTTTATTATTACATTGTGTTATTTATTCTATATAAATTATTCTTGACTATAAAGTTATGAGTATTCTTGTATACATCTTTCTACCTCTTTGTACAGTATGGGGAACACATATTAGGTATGTATCCATTACCTACTTAACCAAATTTAATAATAATAGCTGAGTAATTAACACGATAAAATTATTGTTTAATTGTTAAGATAACATTGTAAAAATAAATTTATTACATTCAAATTATTATTATTTCGATTTACATGAAAGGGAATATTGCGAAATACAGCCAGTTTTTTGCGGGTTAGAATCATCAAATGACGTCTCTAGACCTGGGCTCTCCGTCTCTGAGAGAGGAATTGTCTGACTCTTACTGATAAAAAAACACCCTGTTCCTTCTCCAAGCCGAGGCCCCCATACATTATTGTGCCTGACTCGGAATCCCGGCTAGGGGTCGCAAACCGGGATACCGAATTTCGAAAATACCGGAATACCGGGCCAAATTTAGGTCTAATTAATACCGGTATTCATTTCACAAAAACCGGGATATTCGGTATTTTCGGTTTTAGTTAAATAAATAAAAAACACATCTCAGCAGAGTATTTGAAATACTAAAAGCCACTGTCGAAGAACTGTGCAAAAGAAACGCTAGCCTAATTACTGCTCTGAAGTTTATTTAAGGCCAGATTGCCCAGAGATGAGAAAACACATTGTGGATTTTGTCAAACCCAAAGAAATTTTTAATCTGGAATCTACACTGCAAAAACAGTAACATCATGTTACTGTTTTTGCATATGATGATCTCCCTTCAGCTTTAGTGCCAGTAAAGAAACAGAAATGGCGGTGAAAAAGCAAATGCTCTATATAACTCAATTTGATTTGGACTGAATTTAATTTAAGCATTTTTATTATTTTGTTAATTAGCATATTATTTGATGATTAGTAAACCATACTAAAAGTTAATTTTATGTTTTATAGGAAATTTTTATGTTTTTTTTTTTGTTTTGTTGAATTTTATGTTTTATGAGATGTTTTTATGTTTTCTTTTTGTTTTTTATTTTTTTTGGTTTTTTTGTTTATGTTGTGGCTGTTGTGAGATGTTTAAATTTGATAGACATTTTATTTTTAGAACTGATTCCTACTTCCTTCTCAAACACTATATTACATTTAATTAAAGTATTTGAAAGTTAGAAGAAAGTTATTTTAATAAAGGAATAAAAGGGCATTTAGTATTAGCAAATTATTGCTAAGAACTAACTGAATGATTAATTGATTACCAACATATCAAATAATACCTAAAACATGTGTCCATGCAAATTTTGTTTTATTTAGAAGATAAATTCATTTAGGTACCTACTTAATTTTCGTCCGGAAACTTTATAATACTAAATTTGCTAACTTTAGCTTAATCCCGGAAATATCGAAAATACCGGATTATCGGTATTGGTCTAAAGCCAATACCGAAAATACCGGTTTTGCTTAAATGATTCGGTATTGCGACCGCTAATCCCGGCTAAACCTCAGACTGATGAGCCCCGTCTGTAGTGGTAATATTGAGGCTAGGGTACACCACTAACATATCTATAAGAGTAACGACATAGTTTAATACTTACGTCATGACTTTTGCCTCATCGATAAAGTCGTCTTCAGACATGGTGCCCTCTTTCATCATTTTGACGGCAGTGTCTATACGACCACGCCACTTGCCTCGCCGGACCACGCCGAACTGACCGGCCCCTAACTCTTCCAGTAACACTAATTCCGATGGATCGATCTCCCATTTGTCTGTAAAGAGAATTAAAAAAAAAATATCAACATAAACTTTTTTTGCTATTAAAAATGTAAAACATATACCAATGTCCAAATTACACCAATTTCTATTGTTAAAATTGATAATCACAAAACTTATAATTGCACAATAATATTCTATGACTAATCAAACCAGTGTAATCAGTTAATTTGACACTAATGAATAAAGTTAATTATAACGCTAAAGCGTTTAAGATAGATGTTATTCAACGTGAAACGAGGTAAATAGACTCAGTATGTTTATACCACAATTATTTATTTGTTGGAATGAACTTTGTATGGTAATGTTTCCCAATGACGTCACGACTGACGTTTGTAATTGTTTATTCAAACCCTCCTATCCCTATTACGTTAAGGAGCAGAATGTTCTATTCCTTATAGACTCAATGTTGTGGCAAAAACATATGTATTTCATAATTCGTAAACAAAACATCATTTAGAAAACTGGTCTTTTCTTGGAATGAATGATTTCAATAGCTACTTTGTTTTGTAAGCTAATATAATTCTATGTACCTGATAAACTTATGTGGCACATAGTGCATACAATTTACGCATGATATTTAAATGTATCTGGAGCATAGTGGGCTAATTACGATATGAAACAGACCAAGAAATGTTTGGATATACTCGTAAAATAGAAATTTACTTATTAAGGGATATCTTAGCCGGGGTTGCGGGGCAAGCGCAATGAGACACCTCGGCCTCGAGAAGAAACAGGCGGGTGGTTTTTAGTCAGTATGAGTCTGACACTCCCTCCCGCCCAACCCGGAAGAGGTAATTTGATGATTTTGTCTCACAAAAAGGGGTATCTTCAGGCTAAGTTTAGCCTCAATATATTGCTATGGGCAAACCTATTCATCAAAACTCAAATTTCCCTAAGGATCATTTACCTGTTTCGTATGTTGCTGGTAAAATTACTATGATTTGATTAGTCATTTATTAATGAACACCGTAAAACCAAAATTTACTAAAAATAGCTGTAATAAACATTAATGCATGGGATTAACAAACGACTAATTTGTCATAAGCGAATGTAAATCCCATACATTCTGTTGTCTATTCTATTTAAGTAGTATTTATGTCATTTGGCTATTAGCATCGCGTAGATAATGACTTAATTCAACTGTAATGTCATGACGACATTGTTTGGCGCTACAAATAAAGTTGATAAGCAATACAAATTACAACAATGTTAAATAAAAGCAAGTTACTGATACATGCAGTTAAATGATTTTGTGAGCACTGTAATAGAATTGCATTATATGACTTTACTAGTAATTTGAGCCAAAAATAAAGCAATTATCTTACTTTCAAAGTCGAATGAGTTTTTATGGCGTGGTTAGGAGTTAGTAAATGATAAGTGTGGGTGACTAACCATACTGACCATGCGAAAGACCAGCAGTGGGTGGCGCAGGACGGTCGCAAGGCGTGGTCTTAAGCCGGGAACACAGGCCTCCACTATTATGCTTGTGGTAGTTTATGAGATCAGGAATACTAGCGCAGCAGTGCTTATCTGATAGATAGAACTCGCCGCGGCTGTTCTGTTTTATATGGTAGTGCTTCGTTTGAGGGTGATAGCTGGAATTTACGATTGAATATTGTTATATAGGTGAACAAATTATAAATAATTCCGAAAGAGCGTCTGAAAGTTTCAGAATAACGACGTAGAGTTTGTAAAGGTACAAATACACCTACCAATTATTCGGGCAATTGAATATGGTTTTTATGAAAATAAAATAATAATAACTTTTGGCTTTTAAAACAACGTATTACAAAGGTAAAGAAATTTAAACTTAAGTGATCTTGACATCGTGCCAAAGCGTTGAATAGCCTTATAAGTATTGCAAAAGTGATAAGAGTTAGGTACTTACACTTTGGTATATAGGGAGAGAGTGTACATGCCCTTGGTAGAAGAATTGCGTACGACGAAGCAGCCCTCTTTGTCCTCCTGCTTGAGGAGGGACTCTGCACGTTGCCGCGACATTTCGCCAACGTACCACCTGTGTACACAGAATTGTAATGCGGTTACAGTACCGGAAAAATTTGTTTAACCTTCGAGAATTATCGGGGCTACACATCCTGGTTCCTGAATGAATGATGAATGAAAGACTTACGTAGGCACTTTGGCAACGGTATCAACAGTTTCTATACCAATATTATAAAGCTGTAAGGATTGTTTCTTTTTTTAACGCGCTAATCTCTGGAACTACTGGTTCAAAATCGAACTATGTTTGTGTTTCTGGAATAGACTAACCATTTATCGACGGAGGCTATCGGCTATAAAACTCTAGCGGATAGACTCACGCTTTACCTTAATATGCCTGGCCTCCTTAATGTTCCCCTGACTCTAACTCGATAAATATATTTTTATTTTTTGTGTAATGTTTATTTTTGTACGTTTTCAACTGATGCATGTACTAAATAAATGGTTTAAAAATAATTTGTTATATCGGTTCGGCTGTTTTCGAGATTTAGGTACACATTTAACAAATCATTGTTACATTTTAGATGTGAAAATAATTTCGGTGACAAAAAACATCTAGTTCGTTCCAACTGTCTATCAAACAGATTGTTACAATACACTTTAAGAAAAATTGTAGATATAGGAGAACGTAGTCTTTAGGAAAACTTAAAAAAATCTGCGGAGACGCTAGCAAAACGTATGTTATTTGCAATAAAAAAGTAATATTCTCTAATATTTTAAAGAAGACGACTATAAATAGTAATATACAATTTACATAATGTACACTGCTTAACTCAATATGTTTATATGACCATTTAAACAGTATATAACTCTACATACAATCGACATCGTTCTCATTCTGTCAACAACGAGCATACGCGCATCGAATATGTATGGCAAAACCTTGACAATCGTAACGTTTAACAAAAACCACGAGATAACAATTCAAGTACATCTCGTTCATTTTAAATTTTGATTACATTTTATTGTAGTTATTATAAATAAGTATAATAACTTTACTCTGTGTATTGTTGGTAATACAGCGTTAGGAACGGATTATCTTTCTTTACAGGATTGGTAGGCAAACGAGCAATCATAGCACATATATCTCATGGTAAGCAGTCGATGCAAGTGCAACCAACATCAACTTGTAATGGACAAGTGCATTTCCTGCCTTTCATTGAAGGATTTGTCGATAGAGGTCACCCCTAAGAAAAGCCTATTTTGTTTTCTCTCAAGTTTGAATAAACTTGCCTCAATAGTGCGTGAAGTGCCAAAGTGTTGAACAAGGAATGTGGATGAATATTTCCTATTTAAAAATGTTTACTAAAATTTAACATATTTTATAATTATATATATTAATTTTGAGCCCTAAGTTTCAAAGTTATTTCCCGGCTATTTATACTGATCGATTTTATCCTCTCCTACCTTATCCAGAAACACATCATTTATTTATTTTGTTATTATTTAACACTTTATTTATTACATAAAAAGGCGGAAGGCATTCTCTACCCGTCAACTGTTTTAAAGTTACTGAACATGTAAGATATTGTAATATTTTTTAATTCATTGAGGGCTTTTTTCATAATTTTACTTGAAGGCTCCATGGTGAAATGAGTCAGGTATAATACTTGAACATGATGAACATCTTAAGGTGTCTAAATAGGTTTAATTATGTTCCCACTTAATCAGTGCCATGAGAAAACCTCATTCCTTTACTCCATAAAGAATAGTCATTTTCATCAGCGAATATAAATGTTTTTCGAAAGGAAAACGCATAAATAATAACACTAGTAAATAAAAATAGTAAACCCGAGGTTCATAATATAATAATAAATTGCAATTTAAATAAGAGCAAAAGATTCATCTCGATTATCTAAAAATATCCTGCAATTGGTTCGATTTAGGTTTTGTTTCCCTATACAATTTGCACATAGCTATTAGATATTAATTGATTGTTATAATCGGAATTGGATGATATAGGTACTTTATTGATGACATATCCCGAATTTAAATGTACACTACAAATGTAGTTCTAAATTAATTTAAATGATATTTATTTTTGCAAATAACCATTGCCCGAAATATCAATATTACACGACATTATTGCTCATTATGTACCTACTTTAAATTAAACTATTTGAACTCTCTCAGAAAAAAACACCATAACAATCTCATATTTTATAGTATCTTTTAACATCCAAATAAAGTAGTAGACTCGTTTCTACGTAAAAACTCTAGTTAGATCAAAACGCAAAACTGGATGGATATGTCCGGAATATTTTTTTCTTCTAATCATCAATTTACTACCGGAATAAGTAAAAATAATACAATAATAATTTACTTTGAAGTACAATTTAAATTAAATATATTTACAATACTTACTCATATTTCTGCAATCCTATTGTTTCTTTTTCCTTAACGTAATTACTCGGTATGTACCCCACCGACCTAGAAAGGAGGTAAAATGTATAAATAAATTTCTATAAAAAAAGAAAAGAAACTTAAATAAGGTTTAATATAGAAGATTACCCATTCTCATCTTTAACTTTCCACCAATGATCTTGAGAGTCATCTATGACTTCATATTCGGCGCCCTATAAAATATAATAACAACATTATTTCGTATATTTACGATTTTATGTATAAGTAAAAATTAAAAAAAAAATGACTCCTAAGTTGCTATGCCACTGCAATGTTGTTCATAAACTTCTATCTTACTGTAATTTTCTTTTGGTCACATTGCCTAATTGTCCCTAATTAAATTCACTCCAAAGTGTAATTGTGTTCTTATTCACCAAATAAAAACCAAAATCAAAATCCCCTATCTAAGTAACCCACTTCTCCCGATTGTTCCGCAAAATATTCATTTTATTTATTAATTCATGTACAACATCATCTTCACAGGAACACCACCTAATGCGACAATGTTGCCATACATAGAAACAGCTAAAGGAGGTTTTAACAAAATTAAATATATTTATTTGATGTCAAAATACAAGCACCCGTAATGTTTTCGCACATTGTCAATCTGATTTGTAGTAGCCAAGTCAATGACATAAAACTTTATTGTCCAGATTAGGTTACAACTATTGTCATTTAAATTAAAGATTTATTCAATAGAATCAACTAGCAACTAAAAGGCTAAAATAAGTTATGTTGTGTCAAATTTTTTTTGTCTAAACACTTAAATAGACATTCGCTATATTTCCACAGATAATAGTCGAAATAAAAAAAAGCGATCCAAAGATAATTGCCCTGGCGTTGTACGTTAGTTTTTTGTGTACAAAACCCACGGATTTTACCCAAAACATATTGTACTTTGCTCTTGATTAATAATGGCCATTAACTTTTCGACTCCCATTCACGGCCATGTAGTGAAAACATTCATTTGGCTTGGCTTTTGACACTTAAGCTCCTCCTACGCTTTGAGATGATATTCATAGAAGGTAACTAAAATATCAAGTAACACACAAGACCCTTTAAGTGCGGTATTTGTAGGGCTAAACTTACCTTTTCTAATGAGAGATCTCCGCTTTCAATAGCTCTGAAGGGGTACAGGGCTACCACGACTTTGGTTCTCGCCTTCTCCTGTAAATAAATTTGAATTGTTGAAAGAATAATATCCAAAGTTATATAAATGACACTTGCATACATGTCCATGTTTAATTTACTAAAAATGGAAAGCTTTGGGTTTTTATGCTTGGTGTGAATTAAGTATGATCTTAGGATGATGTATTGTGTTCACAAAGTCAGTCTAGTCAATTTTGGATATAAATCTTGACTGTTACATTTTTCGGAATAAATATACAATATACCTATTGGTTCCATAAATTACAGTAAAAATCGTTGCTAAATTAGGCTAATTGTGTATTTATTTACCTTTGGCTTGGCAGAGGGAGTGCCTGGAGGAGCGCCGCCTCCCCCGGGCATCGTGACCGCCGCCGTGACCGCTAAAACGAAAACCAATTTCACAATCTAGGCAATATCTTGGAATACACATTAAGTGCTACATTGACTAATGTTATGCTAATGACTTTAATAATAGAGGCTGATAGCACTCAATCAATTAACAGTCCTATACAAGAATACTTGTTTTGTGAACAAAACAAGCCAAGTTTATCATTTTGTTACCTAAATGTTTCTACTTTTTGTGCACAATAATTGACATAAAACCTCAATAAAAATAAAAGGTGTTGGTGCTACTTAATGTTACTTAAAACAATACAATACAATTAAGTATGCGGATAACACCTTCAAAATCGATAGCCCGTTTTCCTTTACAAAGATCTCGTTTCTGAACCGCAAAACCACTCGTTATGCAAAGGTCACGAAACTGGCGATACTTTTAACAGAAATTATTATAAAAATTAAATCATAAGCACCAACATGTTTCAAGTACAGGTAAAATGTTACCATGTTAATAATGAGGAACTTGTTATTAGATAAATATCAACATGAGAACAGGCGTTTAAATGTCAGCCTTAGAATTTGAACAAAAATAATCAGTCACTACAATGACATGATGTTAGAACGACGAAGGTCAAAAGCATCCCGTATTTGGCTGGTAATTACGGCTATAGTATTTGTTAGAAAGTACGACAACGTTAAAAGTGATGATTTGATAGTCAATTTCACATATGAACAGTTCAATGAGCACAATAACAAACCATTGCACAGACATCTTATAGCAAAAACACTAAGAAATGACCTATATCCATGGCACAAGGAGCACTATCCTTAAGCACTTGGGTATCGAACACTGCACAGTATCACTTTTGTGGGCATTACACAAACGCATTACATTACACCTGACCAAGACAAGAAAGTGAGTGCAACGAGACCAGTGAACGCAACCGAAGGCGACGAGGCCAAATAAATAGAGGTCAGACGAATTGTACCGTACCCTCTAGAGCCGGGAGGAATGATGCCAACGAGAGACATGGTATTTTTGACTTCTTCTTAGTCACCATCGGTTCGTCTTCGGATTTATTAGGCAACATGGGAACGGGACTTTGAGACCGGACGTCCGCGCGCGACACCTCGCTCCGACTGCCTACAAACGTGTCCAAGTACCGCGGCGAAGGTAAAGCGCGATACATAACAGCGCTGCCTCCGATACGGCACGTTACACGTGATTGAGACTACTTTTATTTGTTGAACTGGTTACATTTTTGGAAGCACAACTTCGTTTAATTACTGAAATTAATGTAATATTAAATTCGTGTTTCGTTTTGGTCGTGCAGTTCACCAAAATAATAATATTACGATAGTAGGTAACTGGAATATACCTCCGAGAAAAAACAATATTTGATTCAGTGACAAAAAGCTCAACATACATTTATGGTCCGACAAGTCCACAACTTGTCATTAAGGCATAACTGTAGCCCATATAAAAATATTTACGATGTTCCATGAAGAACTAGGCTTTATAGTTGTCGAGACGAGGAGCGAGGGCTCAAAGATGGTCGCGCTCGGCCTACATTCACCATTCGATGCGCGCGCGCAGGCGGTACTCGTTCTCCCTTTCACTTGCTGGTCCCTTATGATGTGGAAACGAGACGGAAAATTTATACAAACGTCATTAACGGCAATTGACTCGCTTGGCTATAACACCATCTTCAACAGAAGCCTTGCGTTTGCAATGGCCAACTGTTTTTTGTAGAGTTATCTCGAATGATAATAATATGTTGTGTATCTTTTATGAATATTCAATGCGTATACCTGTCTGTTTTTTTATAAATAAAGATGTTAATGTTAATACTATTTTTAAATAAAATTATACTTTTTCAAGATCTAGTAAGTATAATGAGTAACACACAGAAGGAAAATTATAGGATGAACATAATGATACGCACGTGCAACGTCGTTAGACAATCGGTTGTCTTGCGGTGGTGCAAGCAAGTCAAGGTCAGACTCTATGAGGGTCCAGAGGTCTGCGACTGCGCAGCCGGGGGCGGACCGTCGCTCAGCGTCACAGCAGCTCCAGCGGCGCGCCGACCACGCACCGGGGTGGTACCGACTTCGGCGTCCACTCACTGTGCAGACTGTAACCCACCATGCCTTTACACTTTCCCCTGACCTATAAATGCTGTCTGTCTTGTTGCATGCAAAGCTCACAAACTTTTCTTCTCCCATGAATATGACTAAGAAGATTCTCTCTATGCATAAAAGTAATGAGCTTATTTAGTTTGTAAATATAAAAGTTGGCAGTGAACTAACAAACTAATAAAGAGCCTTTACTTGAATTAGAAATTGAATGCATGTACACAGAGTGCGTGACAAAATAAACCATACAGGTTGTCAGTAACAGGGTTTACCTACGTCACACGTAATAAACGACGTTATGTAACCATGGGTGAGTACGTACCCGATCTGATTGTGTGGATCCACTGCAGGCGTTCTGTATGATCACCAGCGACAAGGTACAGTGTGTAGTCAGTGTTTTGTTCCGAGTACCCCACCTGACCGGGCATACAAACCTCTTTAATAAATAAACACTATAATTTTACAAGTCATCCATCAAGTTGTCAAATCGCACTTAAGCATGCACTGTGTATGGCGTGTGATATATTACCTGAAAGGGATATCTATAAACGGGGCTCTTCTCACCGTCACCCTCCGGTATGTGTTTGCTTAGCTCCCCCAACTGCGCTTGTTCCACTGTATGGATTGCACCCGTGTCGATGCGCCCGCGCTCCTTCCGTCTCTATCACACACGACATAATAAAACATTGAATAATCAATTTGAAACGTATTTTCCACTATTGAACCAAACAATCGCGAACCTTTCGTCACACCCTACTCGAGAATACTTTAATAATTTTAAGTTTCAAGGAACTCCTAGCGTCCTTTCAAGACACAACGTGCAGCAGTGGGTCAGCTTAAAGATATTATGCTGTTTGTAAGCGCCACACCACCCATCAGTAGGTAACGTCTTGACGTCAATTAGCCATTACACCGAGGTCATATTTGATTGTTTATGGTATTGAAATGAACGCTACTAGACTACACAATGTTTTAATAAGATTAGATACCTACACTTTATGATCATCATTTAATGCAACAGAAAAATACTGCAGATATAAAAATAGGGTTTATTGCTTTAAGCTATGTGAAATATAACTAACAACATAATATACTTGTCGCTTAAGGAAAATAGCAAAAAATATTTTATGCTTAAACATTTTCTCACCGCCCTTTTAATCCCATGTCAAAAATGTCACAACAGTAGCGCAGATTAATGGAAAAGCAAAAAAATGTTTTAAATTCAATTAAACATGTACAATAGAATGAAGTAGTTCACGCTACAGTTCCCACTAATTGAATTTGGGTTGGAACTGAAGCTCTGACATTTTTCAGAGCCGAGCGCCAATTTCGCTGATGCGTAAAAATTTCCATATTCAACTGCTCCCCTCACTGAATTTCGACATTTTAATCCAACTAAAGTGACAAAAAAGTTAAGTAGGAATCGTTTAAGAACGAATAAAATATGGTATAGTGATCTGTAAAAAGTGGGTTCTTCTACTTATACGTAACGATGGACGTCGGGTCGGAGTACGTAAGTACCTATAGCACATTATGTGTCGGGTAGCAGACCGCGATAAGAGCAATGACTGGGCTGGCGTCATGCCAAGCGACTAGCAAGCAGCCCTCTCTAAGTAACACACTACACCAATTACCGACATCACAACCTGTCCCGGAACACTTACTTAACTTTATTTACGCGACAGTTTTCGCAAACATCACTCGTATCAACATCGACCATACATCCGACAGCTCGGTTTATTTGTGCCTGTTCACTTTAGTACGAGACTATGACCAGATTTTTTTTTATCAAGATAGGTTTATAGCAATTGTTTAGCTACACAATCAAATAACCTGTTCTATTCAATTGACGCTGGAGAACGAGTTCATCAGTACGAATGCAGATACTCTATCGAATTTGCCTCACGTCAGATGGCAGAATCTAATAATATTCTGAAAGCGCACAACGGGTGAGTCCCGGAACAAGTAATGAATCAAATCACTGAGTTGATTTCCTGCAGGGAATACACCGTCGTTTCCAGGTATCCGAAGAACATAGTTATCTTCGATATTGTCAGTTGATCTTAATGAAATCTAACTTTCTATGTTTTTTAGATACGGCGATTTTATACCTCTCGATCTGATTAATTACAGGTATTGAGAAATATTAATCCGATGATTTAACCATATAATACACACACATTTAAGACATTAATAACTACACTAAAATTCATATTTTATGTAATTCACTTTGCTTAAAAGCTGAAAGCCTGGTTTCACATGAGAACCAAAATGAGATGAGATTGCAAGCACTAAGAATCTTTGGAGTGAAGTGAAACAACAAAGCTCAAAGCTGAGACGCGGTAGAGTGAACCTTTTTCAAACAATTAGCGGGCGTCATGGAGGGCTCTCCATTAAAATTGCTCACATAACGAGGGACCACACGCGGCATGACGGTACATACATTACGGCGAAGTGCGAGGGGTTGACGGCGCACGGGGAATGATTGCCAAGTCTATTGAAGCGCGGGAGGGCCGACTACGACACACTTTTTGTTTATTCTACTGCACTTTTCAAGCGTTCTCTTTCCGTGCAGAGTTAATACATCAAGCAATGTCAGATGTTTTTCACTGTTTTTAGTTTGGTGGTTGATGGCTGTTTGCTTATTCATTACTTACTTTATCTACAAGTACTAATTATTAATCATATTCATCAACTAAAGATATAGTCTACAGACATGTAATTTAATTGCTTTAAACAAATATAGGTCTTATATTTTTCTGATTTCAGTTTATTAAAGATCAAAACGATCGCAGTTATAAAATACACTAAATTCGAACGAAATAATTGTCTGTTAATTTATCCTCATATTTATCAAAATAAATTAAAATATTTAAAGTGATATAATCATGACAGATACATTTGTTTAAATCACAGGAATAGATTGGCTATAGAATCTGATCACGGTAATTAAAGCTGCCTTCAAGACCACGAACGAACACGAAATGGACACGGTAAGTAAACGATAATAAAATACAAACCAAAAGCGGCATAGTATCAAAATATCAAACAGTATTTTTAATCACAATGTAAACGCCAATTTGGTAAGTATAGGTGTGTAAAAAAAGCAGTTTTTACGTAGGTGGAAACTGAAAAAGCAATGCGCACGTACCTATTTGGTCACCGGTTCGATGTCTCAATAACTCCAAAAGAAAGACATTTGTAACTACACTATGAGTTGAAAAACGCATCTATCGGAGACATAGCGTGTGTGGTTCAAAGTGAGGGCAAAGTGGGTGTAACAGAGGTGTGAGTGATTGGTATTTTACCAGCGGTGGTTCGGGTGCGGTGCGGGCCGGCGACGGATGGTGTTGCGGAACTGCCGCTGCCGCCGCCCGGCGTCGCGCCGGACGATAGACACACCCAGCTCGCGCATGCGCTCCCACACCACATATTCGCCCCTACGTCCTCCAGCTTTCATTTAAAACGTCGAACAAAACTAACATTACCTGCGCGTCCTAGTGTTTTACTACAACCACTAAATCCTTCGGCTATTTTTAGCTCAATTTAAACCGGCGTTAATCAATGCGGCGTTTTTTACTATTAATTCTAAATTTTTTTAAAGAGGTTATCGATATTTCGTTATGTGATGCCATCTAAGTTTGCCCAGCAAACGAAACTAAAAATGTATTTAAATGAATTGAAGAAATATCTACATTCCAGTACTTATCGAAGAATTAAATAAACAATCGTAACTAAATTTTTTTAAGAGAAAGGCAGACTGTGAACTGATAGTTCAATAGAGCTAACATTTTAAATAATACATTTTCGTTTATTTATAACATAATACAGAAATACCGATAGCTTTACATGCAATTTGATCGTAAACATAACGCAAATGACGTGACTTTCACGCACGACTTGCATCTATAGCCATTTTAGAACTGAAATATTGTACACAGCGCAACCACTTATAGCACTGCAAGATGCAATGTGATCGTCTCTTAATATTAAGAACTTACGTGTTATTATTTATATTCATATTACGCATGGAATGATTGATAAGGTTATTAAATAATAACTCACTAAAGTCTAATCTACAACAAAAAATCGCTATTACTTTGTGAAACAAAGTATCGGTCATGTCAACAAAATTCCTAGTTACCTACTAGTTATTTACAATCGACAGATACCCTAAATAGCAAGGAACATAAAACAAAAAACACTGTGATACAAATAATATACACTAACGATAAATTGGTGCATCTACGTAAATTGGGTTAACTTCAGTATCTAGTTTTGTACCTACTTAATTAAAAAATCTACAAAACATTTCACTTAGCTTTCGTCGGCGTCGGTTCGGCTTTACCGTGACGTTATTACGGTGCCGTGTGATTCCGATGACGTTGTTACTGTATGATCCATTTATTACAACAATTACTGATTGACGCATTAATTAATATTTTGCCCACAAATAAGCCAGTGGTATGTGTTATATAGTTTTGTGTACATCAAGAGCTTACGGCCCTATTAGACGTAGAGGTACAGCTGCTTGTAATATACTAAAATGGAGTGACTGACCACGTCTGTCGTATGTCTGAAGAGCCGAAGGCCAAAGTTAGTACGCAGTGGTCCCCTTATACAGCGTCGCAACGCTGCACTCGACCAGGTTGGGAAAGGCGGGACGAGCTAATCAAAATGAAATTAAAAAAAAACGATTAGTCCATAACTTCACTCTAGGGTTTTTATAACTAGATGAAAAGATTACTTTCTTAAAGAAAAGTTTCTTAAAACTTCAAACTCTTGACATTCATTATAAATTATTTATTTGTTGGTGTTTTCATTGTGTATTTTAGCAATAACGTTGATAAATATATATTTTTAATTTATGAATAGTAATTTGTAGATCTTTTGCAAATTGATTTCAGTAGTTGCATTATTATTGATTATTATTTCATAAGAAAATAATACGAAAGTTGACACAAATGGTGCGGTATTGACGTCACATCGTCACTTCGACAGCACTTTATTATGCTGTATTGGGATTTCGCGCAAAACTATTTCCAAATGGAGTTATAAATTAAAGTATGTAGGTAAAAGGGTTTCAGAAATTAGTCAGCTAAAATAACGTTTGTGCAAACTTAACTCTCGACATATAAAATGAAATAAGAGAACAACTATTTCAACAAATAAGTAATATTTTTACTAACATGAAATAAGTAACATTTTTATCATAACTGGGTTATATGAAAAGATTAAGTCATTAATTAATTGAAGGCATTAAAACGCAACGTTACTCCACAAAATACTTGCCCAAGAAATGTGTCATAGGATTATAGGTCTACCTATCATATTAATTATGTCAACATAAAAAGTGACAAAACAACGCGTATTGCACACGTCGTGTTCAATAGAAAAGGCATTTCCTGTTTTTACCTAAAACCATATTTATAAGCACACGATCCTAACTAAAGATATTCCAATACGGCCTTTCGCGAAAGCAAATACGCAGAGGTTAAATTTAGGCCACGTTCTCGTTCTTCGAAAGCTTAGCTTAAGGTCCGATCACAAACGTAACATCAAAGATAGGTATAAATTATATCGTTCAGTCTAGTACTTAGCACCTACATCCAGTTAATCACGAGCGGTGAGACTATGCACTGTCAACAGCCTGTAGCTGCTAGCATTCTAAGCAAATGTTGCGTGATTGGAAACCATAAAAACAAATGAGTTATTTAATGCATCTCTCAATCTAGAAAGCCACAGTTCCTTATTGTTTTTTTTTTTAATAATGTTTCGATTAATATTATTTTAACTAAAGCCTCTATCATGATTGCCACGTCGCGCGCGAACACGCCCAATGTTTGCCGGCATAAAAAGGCTTAACATCAACGATAGCATTTAATTCTTTTTCCACGTTTTTTGTTCCTGGCTCAAAAGCAGTTCTATGAGTACAAATCCAAGGCTTATTTGAATGAACCGTAATTAGTTCGTGAATCATATCTTGCGTTTGGTGCTGATGTTCAATTATTCCACATGGCTGACTACCTGCGCACTGGAATTCTTTTGTTATTACACTACCACTAAGCTGTCCAAGTTTTTGTTTAGTCGGAATATAGCAGGATAAGTGGATAATACTTTTTGAGAATCTTTAGTGATGAGCTGTCCATATCTTGGTTTCTAAGACACAACTTTTTATTTACTTTTTCGACTAATCGCCTACAGATTATTGAAATGGTTTTTATTTAAAAATCAATGCATATTTTTGACAAACTTCAAAAAAGGATAATAATTGGCGTAACCCGGGTCTTATCAGCTTGTATTATAAACATAGTTTTTCAATTACAGTACGATCTAACTAAAGGGACTAAAGGATTGCCGGTCTGTTGCGTTATCAGTCCTTTTATTTATCAACGACTCTTTTAATCATAAACGCATAGATGTATGTAGAGGAAATTGTACCATGGTTTTGTGAGCTCTCTGGAGCTGTAGATAAACTAAACTTTTAAGTTAAGGTAAAATTAAGTTGTGAGTAAAAAAAAAATCTAATTGGATTTCCTTTTTTTACGTAGAAAATCGTGTCGTGGGTTTACAAAAATATTATTAAACATACACATCTTTCCCAGACCCGGAACAACAATTTGTGGAACACACAATATTGTTCGGTGCGGGCATCGAACCACCGGCACATTGCGCGGAAGCCACTTGCCCAGGTACCGCGCCAACAGTGCAGTCAAGTTTTGTTTACTTGTTATAAAGATAAGATCAACTTTTGGGGATAAACATCTTCTATAGGCTGTTCACTTCAGATGACTATTACTCAGTGCAGGACATAGTTCGAAAACCATATATTTTAAACTGCATATTCACAACATACAGTCACAATACCGTATTTGGCCTTATTTTTACCTAGTTAGATTTTTTACCTATATATAATAATTATATGAGAGTCAGTTTTCGTTACTCTCGTTCAGGCTGAAATGGCTACCAACTCAGTAACTAAGCCAGGAAAGGTGTAAATGGTAGTAAAATATGGAAAAATTGTGACTGTAATACTAAAAATGTGATCTTTCTTTGCCATTGAAAATTATCTGTAATTGACAATGGACAAAGAACAAAACTGTAAATAGTGTTAAGTTGGTGCAGAGTCGAATTAGTCATGAAGATAACTTTTTTTTAATGCATTAGAATTTTTTGGTTATCCATTTTTAATAATAGATTTTTGTTTCTTCTATGATATAAATAAACCAATTTATTCTGTATTTTAATTCAATCGTATTCTTAAAGAATAGGTATTGTATTGAGAATATAAACAACACAATTTTACCGAAAAATTCAATAGTTGAAGGTCTATGATTCAACCTTTTTCTATATATCCTCCTTTTTACACGACTTTAGGAAGGGTATTGTTTATTTAGTATTGTTCTTTGTATTAATGCCAAAACATGAGATAAATTATTTATTTCGTTTTTTGGACTCCTGCTTCATATGACTGGCATCAATATTAACAGTATGCTAACTTCTTATAATACTCATATATATGACACATTATCACATCACATCTATGAATGACATGATTTTATAAAATATATACTTTGAAGCATCTTATATTCTTAAAGTAAAAAAAATAAGAATCAATTTAAGTTTAGCTATATTTAGAACCCCATATACCCCAATTGTCAAATAGGGCCCCATTGTTAAGACTATTGAATACAGCCTGTGTGTATTTTATTTTAAGAAATAATTACCTTAACAATTGCCATTTACACAGATGAAATGTCTTGCCCTCATGGTACCCATGCAATAAATATGTCTTTTTGATAATTTTAAGAAAACTAGTACTATGAACATGCTTTTGACTTGCACTAGGAAAGTTATATCAAATACAAGATAATAGTTATAATAATATGTGTAATTATTATTCATTTCACTATAAAATATATTTTATTATAATCAATTTGAAGTATTTGTATTTATTGTGGAAACAGAACTTTAATAAATAACAGAATTTTAACAAGCCAGTTGTCACATTCAGCCTCGTGACCATCTTAATAAAGAGACTTCATTTGAACCCTTTGTACACAATACTCTAGAATACTATATATAGCGCCAGGGAAAATTATGCAATGACTTCCATTATTACCTTTCAGAGTAAACGCAACATGCATTTGACAATATACCTTTCTTTACTTTTAACCATATGAATATTAATATAAAAAGTATTTTATTTAGAAGCAAACTATTTAATTAATATAAAAATTATTGTATTATATTAGTAACAAGACCAAATATAAATCTACAAAATTCTTTTATTTCATAAATAATTATATTTTAGACTAAATGGCAACAAAGCCCGCAGACAATCTGATCGTGTTGAATCACCCTAGCTAATGCGAAATATGATTTATCCCATTTAATATTAAAGTATCATTTTTATTAGTTATATTATTTTATGTCCTGGTATGTACATAAAGGTCTGTTCCATAAGTTTGTGGTTTCTTTATTATGATATTAGAAAAAACTAAAAGTTTAATTATTACCTATAAAAACAAAACAATATTCTATATTCTAAGGGCCTGTTTCCTATAAGTACCCAATCTACCTTTATGATTAGTGCTTGATAACTTTATGTGGCACACACTTCATTCAACTATCTGATACATACTGGTTAACCAGACATAATGAAATAGTCTTTAAAATGAAAAGAGGAATCAAAAGTATGAGGACAGTATTTTGGATGTTTCAGATTGGACAGAGAGGCTAGTTTGACAGTGGTTATGCCAAAATTCTTCTCTTAATAATTATTAAGGTACATAGATAATAATTAATTTATCAATTTGTAATTGAAATACTATCTACTTACCTTAGTGTTTTATGAACTCCTTAGCAGCATAAAAATAACAGAAACAAATCAAATCACAGTTTAAGAACTATACTTTGGCAGACTATAGAAATAGTTTAATAAAATTCTAAATTAGGTAAAATGTTATAAGGAAAATGAAATAGTTGCTTTTAGTGGTCAATAAACAAAAATATGTTATATGCATGCGAAAATTAAGTAATCAATGTAGATCAATCAAATTTACCTCGCCATCCGTGTCATAATAAATAAGTGCTCGACGAGTCAGAACCAGCCAGCGTTCCTTATAGTTGACCGGTGTAAATAGCTTTTTATTTTGAGACCTCTTGACCATAAACGCTTGCAATATTACTTCATCGTCATCTTTTCCAGCCATTTTAAGCCTGAAGCATAATTTGGTATTTAAAAGAACTTAATAAACACTCAAAATACCGGCAATACCACTAATAAAACACGTAAACCCTAACATACCTTCAAACAACCTAATCCATCACAATATCACAAATAGACAAGTATTTCTACTAAATAGATAAATATCTTGATGTTAAACAGAAGTTAGAATCAATTACATGCACAATCTTTTCATAACTACACAACACAGCAAGCAACATAAATTGCTGTAGTTGTTACTTCAAATAAATTAGTTTTCGGCCCAAAAATAATAATCCAAGTCGAAGCAAGAAGATTGACTTTACAAGCAAAATGAGTAATTGAACGAATTCATTTTTATTGAATGAATGATTTACTTTTGACATCTATCCATGAAGGAATTAAATGTTCTATGGTCTAAGCCTACCACCACCAAGGAGGACTTTTAGGAACAATTTAAGCACTAAAGTCATAGACAATGATTTTTTTTAAGAAATGACTAACTAAAACTAATTTTCTCATTTAAGAATTTTATGGAAGATATTACATAAAAATAATGGTGTCCATATTCTAATTTACTAAAGTTTTCTCTTATTCAAAACGAAAGCAACATCGTTGCAGAAGTGAACGCTTCCCGCCCGAACAGCTCAAGTTTCAACTTTGGACGAAAGCTGTTTTGATGTTTCCGGTCAATGTGTCGAGTATTGATTTTTTGTAACAAAATCGACCAATAAATAATTATTCATATTAGTTAAGCGATGCAGAAATTGTACATATGGGTATGTTATAGTATAGGTGATTTTTCTGTGTTTTAATATAAATTATATGCAACTATTATATGCTTTACATTGCGCAATATGGGATGTTTGAAAAGATCAAATTTTGTCAAGAAAAGATCTTACCCAAAACAAACTTGCAAAGTCGCAAAGAAAAAATCCTCACAACCAATAAAGTCTCGGTGGAAGACAAAATGAGAGGGCCTTTGCGGACAAGTTACAAAAGTAATAAAAATTGTCTATTGTTTCCTAGTTTGGTTTTGGCACTACTTACCTGTGTCATATTGTCAAAATTGTCATTCATTCGTTTCTTCGTTTACGTTCGTGTTTGTGGTTGTCGTCGTTATCGTAGTTTCATTTTATTTGGATTTTGTTATTTATTGTCTCAACGCTATTACTCGTTTTAAATTTAGTATATCTCGAAATTACCAAATATACATCTTATCTCCTTAATCTTGTGATATATAGAAGTGCAATATGTCGTCCGAGACAGCACAAGTTAGTTCCCTACCGTTGCCTCCTATGCAATATATAAATTTTTACACAGATGAAAATGTTCGAAGAAATAGAGCACCATTGCCACCTCGTCCTATTCACGATTCATATTCAATGTTTGGACACACTTTTAACGCGGACGATACCATAATCAGGTCATTGGAAAGCCAGGTAACAATTTCTATGCATGCATTCATCATAGTAATCACTGATCAACAACTAACCACCATTATGAACTAATTTAATTCTGATGGTTTCAGGGATTTCGGAGATTATATCCTATGCACTTTGAAAGAAGAAGAGAACTAAAAAAATTGAACCATTCTTTACTTGTAAATTTTCTAGATTTATTAGATTTGTTGGTTCATTGTCCTGACTCTCCCAAAAGAGCTGAAAAGGTTGAAGATCTGAGTTTGTTATTCATCCACATACATCATTTGTTAAATGAGTTTAGGCCACACCAAGCTCGTGAAACATTGAGAGTGATGATGGAATTACAGAAACGTCAACGAGTTGAAACTGCCACAAGGTAAGTAAATATATAGTGTTATGTAAATAAACTAATGAGTGATTTGAATGATCAATAAATTTTGGAATATTTAGGGCTAATTTTTCACCAGTCAGATAAATATAATAAAATTGTTGCTGTCACTGTCTTAGACAAACATTCTGACACAACAGCATTATAATTTTACCCTTGATAACTTTTATATAACCATTAAAAAATCAGCCCTTATATTCAACTTACAAGCAATTCATTTGTTAAACAAACAGGTGGTACATTTTCTTGGTGTTTAATAGTTGATTCATTTACACTTATATTTATTGCAAATAATTTATTTGCGTGAGCTTCCATCTGCTGTGTTGTGTAAACCATGATCACTTTGTAGTGTCAAAGTGTTGTTTTCTGCTACTCTAAAAAGAAGAAATTGTAACATTATTTCTTACACAAATGAACTTTTTGTTTTAAAAACTTAACAACTACTTTTTACTTTGTTCCATGAATATTTCACACTCAAAATCCAGAAAAAAAGCTAGGCATGTTGTAATTTTATCATTTGTTTTGATTATAAAACTGACTTACTTAAAGGATTATCAAACATCATTACTCTTAATTAGGTATCATTTTTGTGACTTTATTTTTGTTTAGCATATGTTAAAGTTTGGTAGGCCTATAAAACACCTGTACATTAGATTACTTTGATAAAATTATTTTCTTGATTTCAGATTTAAGAAACACTTGGACAAAGTACAAGATATATTGCAAAATGCGTTGCAAAGTTTACCAGATCAGAATGAAGTTGAAGCTAACTTTAAGGTGCCTGTAGAAATTCTGGAACAAATGGACTGCAGTACTAATGATGTCTCAAATCAAGATCCTTGTTATGAACTTGACCGTATCATGTGTAATGTTGTAGACAACATGAGATAAAATATAAATATTTGATTTACTTTCTTTTGTATTGTCATACTGTAGGTATTAACTAGCCTGTAAGTTCTAGCATAATGTTGTAATAATAAAAAAATAATAAAAATCTAATTTCGTTTTGAATTAGTCAACCAGAAAGTTTTTCAAATCATTATCCATTTCATCAATCCTCCAATCAACTTTAGATAGAAGGAATGAGCATTAATCAAAACACGTGTTAGTGAGGTTACTGGAGGCTCAATCCTATCCCTTCATCTTTAATTCACTCGTAGTAGCTCCTTTGGTATTACGACTTACGAGTGTCCATCAGCTTACCATCACGAATTACGTCTGCTCGTTTGCCGACCAATAACATTTTTTTTATAGTATCTACATTGCTCAGCACGCTACTGTGTACTAGGTACTTAAACGACATTTGATATTTATTTGTTAATAATAATAAAAACAATCGTTAAAGTATATTTTTACATAGATTTTTGGTAGGTAGGTATGTTTAGTTAGTAGAACTTGCTGTGTCCGTTACCCAGGCCAGATGTTGTCGACAATGGTCATTTGAATCTTATAGATAATTAGTTGTGCGGCTTCTGTAATTGTTGCGCACATTTTTAAATTGGTTGCGCTTATAGTTTTTTAATTATTTCACAAAAACATTTCCTGCTGGCGTAACGTTACCACAGCCAGACCTTTTTCTTTCTAATGGGAATATTTAAATAAATATTAGCTATAAAATTAGTTGTCTAGATAAAGTAAATGTTGTGCCTTATTTTGTATTTGTTCTTTCTTCGGTTGCGAAGTTATTCGAGATTTTGCTGCGGTAACGTTTTTGGTTTTGCTAGATCTTTGAAATGGTTAAGCGGATTCTTATCATATTTTGTACACGACTTCCGAGGACTTAGTTTAAATTTGTTGTGCAATAACAAAACCAAAATAATGCATATTTTAAAGGTTTTTTCATTAAATAGAAAAACACTTCAATTGGCCCCAGCACTCCCAATAAGAAGTCGAAAGACTTACTTCAAACGTAATTTTAAAGCTTGTAATTGCCTTCAAATGTATGTGAAGTTTCATTAGTATCCCGTAAGTATTTAACAAGTTATGATGATATTCAGTTCTTCACGAGCACGGTCTTAATGCACGCGGTGTTATTTGGCCAATGGATTGGGTATATGAACTGAATGTTATGTCAATGATTAGTTGTTTAGATCAGTTGTATATCAGTAAAATTTCAGCTCAATACATTGGATAATTAATGAGATAATACTATTAAAGTCATTAGGAAGTGAATGACCGTGGTAAGCCAACCAAGTTTAGGTGGTTACGAAAAAGCGAAAACGCAGAACATTATGGTGCCTTCTAAAATATGTAGGATAGTGTTATAAATTTAGTACAGACATGTACAAAAGTTTAAAAAAAAACTACATGATTATTCAAGATTTTTTATTAAAAGGTAAAATAATCATTTCAATTGAACTTTTACTCCCTTACTTATAAAAACTTGTGTTGCTTAGCAACCGATTAAACATCACCCGTCCTTGTCATTTCTATTTCAAAATGCAGTTCAAAACTCATCTAAAAGTTACAAAAGTAACCTTTTGGCAAGACTGAGTGCGTTATGCAAACAATGTATTACCCCTTCACCCCACTCCTCCTGCGTCCTACCAAACGGCATGCTCTAGCGGTGATTTTTGATAATTTTGTGGAACTGGAAGATAATGTTTTCTTTTATATTATTATTATATAGGTAATTACCAGTGTACGCGTCTGTACCAAAATTGTAAGGTGTATTATACTAAACATTTCAAAAGATAGTACAATGTTCTGCGTTTTCGCTTTTTCGTAACCACCTAAACTTGGTCGGCTTACCACGGTCATTCACTTCCTAATGACTTTAATAGTATTATCTCATTAATTATCCAATGTATTGAGCTGAAATTTTACTGATATACAACTAATCATTGACATAACATTCAGTTCATATATCCAATCCAATGGCCAAATAACACCGCGTGCGTTAAGACCGTGCTCGTGAAGAACTGAATATCATCATAACTTGTTAAATACTTACGGGATACTAATGAAACTTCACATACCTACATTTGAAGGCAGTTACAAGCTTTAAAATTACGTTTGAAGTAAGTCTTTAGACTTCTTATTGGGAGTGCTGGGGCCAATTGAAGTGTTTTTCTATTTAATGAAAAAACCTTTAAAATATGCATTATTTTGGTTTTGTTATTGCACAACAAATTTAAACTAAGTCCTCGGAAGTCGTGTACAAAATATGATAAGAATCCGCTTAACCATTTCAAAGATCTAGCAAAACCAAAAACGTTACCGCAGCAAAATCTCGAATAACTTCGCAACCGAAGAAAGAACAAATACAAAATAAGGCACAACATTTACTTTATCTAGACAACTAATTTTATAGCTAATATTTATTTAAATATTCCCATTAGAAAGAAAAAGGTCTGGCTGTGGTAACGTTACGCCAGCAGGAAATGTTTTTGTGAAATAATTAAAAAACTATAAGCGCAACAAATTTAAAAATGTGCGCAACAATTACAGAAGCCGCACAACTAATTATCTATAAGATTCAAATGACCATTGTCGACAACATCTGGCCTGGGTAACGGACACGAACTTGCTTGCTTCTTGTACCTGCCTCTAGATTGTTTCTGCATCACCCTGTCACTCAAAGGTTGACTGGTAGAGCATGCATTACATTAAGCCTTTGTACAGTGTTTTGTGCATAAATAAAGTGAAATAAATAATCCTTACAAAACAAACTAAGCTGCTTCGATTTTTTTGATGAGAAGTGTACGTATGTCCGTAGGTACCTACTACTTTTGGTTGGGGTATGGGCTATTAATCAATAATTATTACGATAACAAGTAGTTAGAAATTAGCCAAAGAAATAATAGGTGTTATTTATTACAAAGCCAATTTAATGTATAAGATATGAGTTTCAGTATAAATAAATAAAAGATTTTTATTATATTAAAAAGTTTTATTCCCGTAGAAAATTCCATTAGCATTCTGCAATCAAAACCTTCGTAAGGTCTTCTCATTCCTCATAAAGAAGTTGCAACAAAAATCAGGAGTAAAATCGAAGTATGTGGTCTAAACTGGCTTCTGCACCTTCCTGGCTATAAGATAAAAAATATCTTAATAAATAGTAAATACTTACAGAATTAAGGCGCCCAACACGACGTCAACATTAAATAATCCAGGTGGAGTCTCCGGGATCTTGTCAATGAAAATTAACTCTACATTAATTCTAATACTTACCAAGTGATGATTCATTTAATACTAATCAGTTGCTGTTTAAGACACGACTGCTAAATTAGTTATAAAGATTATTTTATTACTTACAAAAAATGCTGCTCAACTACAGGAAACTATTGAGGCGACTACTGAAACCCAAATACGATCTGCCATTGCTGCTAGATAAAAATTCTAAATAAAAATATTGGCTGCTCCTTATGTAAAACAAAACTGCCACGTGTAATGGGATGTTGCTCTTCACATCTCATACATGATGACAAACAAATGATGTTAACAAACAAGACATGTATTTTACAAACTGTGAACAGAAGAATGAGGGGAGCTTTCCATAATTTGGACGTGCAATAGAATAAAATCGGTGGAACTCAACCTAGACAATCAGAACCCTTCAGCACAAAAAAAAAACTTCACTGCTACCCTATGCCTACACAAACCCCTATTTCATTGTTGCAAGAGAATACTGTTGGTTTTGCTTCTCTGCAACATCGGGCAATTTGGATAATCAAGTTTTCTTTTATAATGGAGCAAGTAATAATAGTGACTATAACAATTTAACTTCCTAAATCTTTGTCATTTTGAATCCGTTCTTCCGACAGTGCGAAATTTAATAGTTGTTTCGCTTTCGGAATGGTGCTCCATTATTTCTGAAGTCGCGTCTACCATAACCCCCGCGGCCTCCCCTTCCGCCAGAGTTATTCCCAGAAAATCTTCCGTTATTGTTCAACCTTGAGCTGTATTTTCCAGAAGGTGGGGTGTACATTTTGACATTCCTGTCTCCACTACGTGATCTCTTCTCAGTAGATTCTTTTTCATTATCATTGTCAAAAGTAATTGGGCGGTGTCGTTTTTGTCCTGGTGATTGTTTTGTATTGTCTGAGTCAGCAGTTTGTTTCTCCTAGAAAAATAATAAATACATTGTTAATTTTATTATAGAAAAAAAACATACACATATTACATATACAATATTGCCACATTTTAAAAGAATTATCAAGTACCTCTTTATCAAGTTTCTTGGAATGGAATGACAATTGAACTTTGCTCTTGAAGCTGGGTGGAGTCCGGAATAAATCTCTTATGAGTGTATTGATGTTAGAAGTAGTCTTTAATGCTGCAATTTTTAACTTGTTTTCTTCCGAGTTCGCATCTTCACCTTTTTGGCTCTGAAAAGAATTTTAATTAGGACTGACATAATATGAAAAGGCCTTAATAATAAAAATGAATTGCGTCATAATAGATAGCTTAACAAAAATATGATAAACAAGAGAAAGGATACTGTGTAACCCTACAGGAAACAGTCATGATGTGTTGATAATTATTATCAGTGTGGGCAATGATTAATGAAATGTAACAATTTTTTGGAATAAAAAGTATATATACATACTTGTGTAACTTCCTTCAATTTCTTTATGTACCCTTGAGTAAGGCGCGCTGTGTATTGCAGGCGCAAACGTAATGCTTTAATTTTCGCAGCATCTGTAGTAAGTGCCTCTGGAGCCTTACGGCACAAGGAGTGTAGAGCAAATAAAGCACACTCGACATGAGAAAATTGTAATAGTGGTGCAGCCTTTGAGTCTTCTGGTTTGTCTCCTGATTTTTCACCCTCAGACACTTCAGTTTCAATTGGAGCTTCAGGTAAGTATTTCTGTGAAAAAGGAAGAAGTCAATTTACCAATTCAAGAGATTTGATGGAGTCTGTTTTATAATAATGTTATTATTTCAACTTACCATTAATAATTCATAAACTGCATCAATTTTCTTTGGAGGATTTTCAAGTTCACCACAATGTTCTGTGATCTCTGCAAATATCTTCAAGAGTTCTAATTTTGGATCTGTGCCTTCTGGTGTAGTGATGCTATCCCAACCTTGTAGTATGTGTTCACAGAAAAAGTTGACGAATTGGGTGGAATCCACTAATCCCTGGAAAAAATAAAAAAGTTTTCAAATGACAAACAATGAAATATGATTTTAAGACATTATATTTCAATTTACTATGTGTGTTTTACATGAGAAGCATGTTTCGTCACTTATGATCATATTGACATACACAACATGTACAAATAGTTTTAGGTAATTTGGATTTTTTTTTTAATTTTTAAAAGCTTTGCCCCACATTGGTATTTTCTCCTGTGTCATGAGTGTGGTACAAACATACAATTTCACATATACATGACACCCAGACCCAGAACAATAATTTGTGGATCACACAAAGAGTTGTTACAAGGGAATCGAACCCGCAACACATTGCACAACAGCTAGTTGCCCAGCCACCGCACCAACCATGCAGTCGAATGTAATAATAAGTGGAAAACCTTACCGAGAACAATGGCAAAGCATGCTGTGTGCACTGGATAACTCGTTCCACATATTCAGGATCTTCTGGATGCCAGTCATCAGGAGTGAATGCAAGAGCAGCAACAATTTGTACTAGTTCCTTTTTCCCTGCTGGTGTCTTCCCTAACTTTGACCATGTCAGTAACTCCATAATATGCTCAAATTCTTCAGCTACAACATCTTGCAACTGAAATAATACAATTTTATTAATAAAATGTTATATCTTAATGAGTATAATGCAAGTAACATATACCTACCTATAACAAGATTGTGATCCAACAAGTTCCGATTTACAATCAGTAAATTAATGTGGAGATGGTCTACACAGATAATAGATAATAACAAGGAAATTAATAGGGTTTTTTTTTAGCAAAGTTATATCATCATTCCCATTGCTATGAAGTCAACTAATTTGGGAAACATGCACACTATAAATGAGGCACTCATCCATTGTCTATTGGAACATCTTTTGACAAAAGTGAACAGGGAACATTGAGCTCTTTTATGCTATCAAATCAAATCAGAAACAATAAATCTAACAATTTTTGAAAATGTATCAAACATTTTTAATTTTAATTTCTTGTAAATTGATATATAATTATAGTGATACACAAAAATGGTATGATAATGGTACACAGGTATTCCATATACTTAAAAGGAGGCCCTTGTGTAAGATTGATTGTGAAAATTTAATATGACAATATTTACATTAAATAAGTTATTAGTTATTTGTCTTAATTACATCAATCAATTAAATAGATCTGAGCTTTGGTGTACACTCCATGTTGTTGAAAACAATAACATGATCTAGGAAAGAAGTTTATTTGTCAATCAAAAGATTTACAACTCACCTCCAACAGTTTTTTGCATTCTGCCACAATCAAGTCTTCAGCTTCCTTCGTAATCACTTCACGTCCAAGTTGTTTAACTTTAGATGCCAAGAATTTAATACATCTTTCCCTCACAACTTCATTAGTCACTTCACTGTCCGCATTCTGGTGTATTTGAGAAAACATTCCCGTAAGTGCACCCTTTGGGTCTATCTTCAGAATAGTAAGTAAAGAGTTGGTCACAACATTGATCTCTGTGGTATCCTCAGACTGTAACAATTGAGCTAGGATATCTGCAATTCTTTGAGTATGCTCCTTGTGGTCTTTACACAACGTAGGCAAGTCCTTGATAGCTTGTTTCCGGATCTGAAATAAGGCTTGACATAAGAATGTGCATTGTACTAGACTAAAAATACCACGAATGTATTGAAATGCACACTTACGGCAACATCATCGTCCTCACATAAATCGAATTGAGCTTCTATAGCTTGATCGGCTAGATTAGGAAAGCTGTTGAAAAATTTCGCAATGAACTGTGACGCCAAACGTTTTTCTTTATCCGACCCCTTCACTGCCGCCAAAATTTCCAAATATTCTTTTTCATGCTAGAGGAAAAGAAACCAAAATGTTTGAAATAAATTTGGCAGATTATACAAATATTCTAGATTAAACAGGGTGTGGAAAATTAGGTTACCTTAGAGATGTCATCTTTGGCGTCGGCTAATATACCATAATTTTGGTACAATTTTTCAATATTATCTGCTGACATATTTGCTTTTAAGTTAATCCAGAAAGAGACAAATGGTTTCTATTACACAGAACACTTATATATTCGATAAAATTCAGTTTTCAAATTAAAACCCCACGCGAACTAGAAATTATGTACCGCTTACGAAGTTGTGTCACTTATGACTTGATACGACACCGTAAACAATCAGTAGAATACTGAGGTGCGCCATAGACTACTATAACCTATACAAGTCTGCAGTGACAAATGTGGTAACACTGATCTCAAATGTTGCCAGATGTTAATGCCGCGTTCTCCCCAAATATTCTTCGAAGCTGTACAGACTGTATTCCAGTCTAATCACATCATCACTTTTGAGCAATGGCATCTTTTAACATAGAGAAGGTATGCGCATTAAACACCAAAAAAATACAATTCATGAAATTAATGAATAATGAAAGCATCCACGTCGTGCGTCGTAGCATTTGTATAGAAAATCACCCTAAATTTGGGAAAGGTTTTACCCTTTGGCACTAGAATGTTACCGCATCCGCAAATTTAATGATGTTGTAATCGTTCATGGATTGCTAGACAAATACATTATTCATCTATAAACTATAGAGGTGATTTATTAAAAAATATATATTTTATTAGTTTCTGATTTACCTTAGATAAATTCCACCAGAGCAGCATTTTATTGTGTCGATGAGCTATGACACCTATTCTCAACAATTATTATAAATGAATCATAAGCCCCTAAAATCCCAATCATGTCATAGTTCAGGAGTAACAGCCACTTCCATAATTTAATCTTGCATTTATTTTCGTTCATGTAGTTACTGTTTCATTTATTATATTAAACGAGAGTTCTTCAGTAGGTGCAACAGTAATACAATTATTTTCAAAATTTTTATTAAAAAAAGTTTTAATATTACACTAGCTTTAATCAACTTTTACTAATATTAAACACTAACTCCTTCCTTCAAAGTCAAAGCGTGATGTTTTATAATCTATATTCTTCCTCAATAAATGAACTATCCAACACAAAAATAATTATTCAATTTAAAACCAGTAGTTCTGAAGATTAGCGCGTTCCAACAAACAAACTCTCCAGCTATATAATATAATAAATATAAAAATAGAGATATAGATTATACTCGAATAATTTTTTTACACAGGGAAGGAAAGGAAAAGAAATTGCAATAACTCCATCTGTGGGAAGGTAGCTACAAATTGGTTAAAATTAGGATAACAGCCGGAAGATGGCGCTAACATCGACCTTTTTTTAAACTTTGTCGTTTTCTTGTACAGGTGTTTTATTGGTTGAGTGGTCAATTGGTTATGATGATGTTGACGGACAAGGAGGAGGAGGTCACGCGGTTATATCTCAAAGTAATATTTTTAGCAGCTGTTAATCAATGTGTCGCGGTTTCCTTTCAAATTACAAAATGGGGGCCGTTGGTGCCCATGTTCCAGCCGGGGTGGCAAATGCTAGCACAATGATGTACCCCAGCCTGGTTCGGAGAAGGAACGGGTTGGGTTTAGTCAGCAGGTAGCAATCAGACACTGCCCGATCCGCCCAGGGCGAGAGAAACCATTGGATTATTTGTCAACCATAAAAATTCAGTCAATTTAAGTTATAGGTACATAGCTTTACTGTTTTTTTAAGATGTTAGCAAATCCGCAATATATGCATTGCGGATTTGCTGTTAAAACTACAACAAGACAATTGAGACCATTGTGAAGGAAAACGAGTTCATGATGATGAACTCGTTTCATTTTATTAGACACAAAAGTATTTTTTTTTTGTGAGGGGAAAATCATCAAAAGACTTCTCCCGCCCAGGGCCCAGTGTCAGACTCTTACTGACTAAAAACCCCCCTGTTCCTTCTGCTCTGGGCCGAGGTCGCGGTGCCTTATTGCGCTTACCCCGCAACCCCGGCTGAATATCAGCCCTTTAGGGCCCCGTCTGTGGTGGTCTATTGGCTCTTTGAGGCGCGCGCGGAACGCTACGCGCCGTACGCTCGGGCCTGGTTCTGGTCGGGCGGCGAGCTGCCCTTACTCGCCGACCGCTGACCCGTGCTTACGGTGGCCGGAGATCGTCCCTTGATCTCCGACGCCCGTAGTATCACCAGCTGCGGCGGCTGGGGCGTAAGGAGGAGGATTGCTCCCTCACGCGGGCCGCCTCTCTCTTTGCGAGCATGACTGCTTCACCAAAGGAGGAGACGGCGTCCCAGTTCCTCTCACTTCGAACCATGGCCTCGACTAAGGCCGGGCGCGAGAGGTCGCCGCCGCCGATCACTTCCCTGAGGACACGGCGGTGCTCAGCACAGGCAGGGCATACCGCTACCTTATGCTCCACCGTATCCTCTAGGTGGTCCTCACAATGATGACACTCGGGCGTTTCCTCCCGCTGGATAAGAAACAGGAACCTACCGAAGCTGCCGTGCCCGGTAAGCAACTGCGTCAGGCGGAAGGTGAGGACGCCGTGGCGTCTCTCAAGCCACTCCTCAAAGAGGGGTCTTACCGCTGCTATAGTAGCGTGCCCAGACACAAAAGTTTAATAAGTACATTTAGTCGTAGTTATAAAAATAAAGTAGGCTTTTTTATAATTAGAATAGTTCTTGTCAACGTACTGTTTCGAGTGTTGTGAGACAACCATGGACCACAGGATGAACATATTTGGAAGAGACCGGACGGCAGTGTTCTCCGTACCTACATGTTTAAACCGCGACCTGCAACCAGCCTGTTTCGTGTGCATGTAGCAACAAATACATTCATGTAGAATGTAGAAGATATTTAGGTATTTTCTAGTTGTGGACTATCTTTTACCTTAATTGTTGCAGTTTACTAACCACAGCGGTAAATTATGTATGTTGTCAAATACTTATAGCTATCTCATTCCATGGATAGTCTTAAAAAACATCTTTGAAATATAAACAGTTTCATCACCCCTTTTCGTCCCCGAGATGAACATAAGAAATATTAACAAATTTTCAATTAAGTAGCTATGTTATATAAGGCGAGTCTGTTGGCGACCTATACTGAAATCGGGCACCCTTTCAAATTCCGAGCTTTTATTGCCTAGAAATATGATTTTTGAATAGTAACTATCGTGAGACATACCTTTTTTTATTTATTCACAAAATAGTTTTACATTATTAACTTTTACATCAAAAATCGCCAAACTGTAAAACAGTTTGATGGCGATAGTGGCGCTCTTATGTTTTACAATTGTTGTTTATTACTATTTTTAATAATATACAAATAAATATAGAAATGTAAATAACGACTTAGCCTCTTAACGAATTAACTGATAAAAGCTCTACTCAACTCTAACAAGTCACAATGGGGACTCTTATTTATGTTCCTCATGCGTATCGACAAGACCAAAATTATTAAAACCACAAAAGAGGTTGAGCACAATTTTACCCGCTTTAGGAATGTAGGTAAATTCAAGAACGGTAGTCGCACTAGATCACAAGGCAAATGAGGAATTCAAACTAATATTGACATAGTAATAATTTCAATAAATTATACGTAGGTACTGAAATTATAGATATTCCAAATTATAACGTATGAATGATGCTACGAATTCACGCTACGAGATTGCTACGCGTCTACGATACGTAGTTACTAAGTTTATCATAAATAAGTACTTAATTACGATATTTTATTAATTTCCTTGTACCTACTGGTGTGGACCTATTTCTTGAGTTCGGTTTTAAATCGCCAAAACTCATATTTGTGTCTTTAAGATTTTGAAAAAAATCACACGAACTGTCTTTATAATGACAATAAACTCGGTTCATAATACATAGGTACAAGAACCTTGTAAAACATTTGTAGTAGGTACAGTCAATATGGTCTATGTCTATGAAGAACAAGATATTATAATATGATGGTATGTTAGGTATGGAGGGAGGTACTAACTGGTAGTCAAACTTGCTAAGTAATTATAATATTAATGAAGTAGCTATGGAATTGACTAGCTACCCTCACGCGGTTTCACCCGCTGCTCAGCTCCATTTGATTGTAGCGTTATGTTTTATAGCCAAACTACTGGCTATAAAAAATAACGCTAAATATAAGCATAAATCTATCTATCAGATATCAGAATTTTTGAAATCCGACTAGCTGTTCCAAATATTACTCCCTACATAGGTACAAACTTAAAAATTTTACCTCTTTATAATATAAGTATAGATTGGAAAACTATTTGCTTTGATGTTCCTAAAAAGTAAAATATAGCGCTGTTTTTTATGTGGTAGGTCGGTAAACGAGAAGACTGATAGCCTGGTGGTAAGCAATCAGCGCCGCCCATGGACACCAGCAACAACAGACGAGTTACGAGTGCGTTGCCGACCTTTTGGGGATTAAGAATTTGGAGATTTAGGGATTGGGGGAGGTGAAGGAGGGATCGTGGTATCTATCACTTCGATCGAGCCGACCCACTCATGTCCAAGCATGGCTCTCCCACACTTTAACATTTATTTAACAATTTGTTTATTTAGATATGACAGGTTTATTTAACGTTTTATGTTAAATAAGATGAAAATCCCCAAAGGAGTAGGCAGAAGCGCGCATTGCATAGATATTAAACTGCAATAAGTGCTGTAAGTGTGGGAGAGCAAAGCTTCCACACAAATGGGTGGGCTCGACCGGTGTGAAACTACGGTCTCTCGAAGAACCAGTGTGAAATACCAGAGCATTGAGTTTCACCGTATCTTTGACTTTTAGTGAATAGAAACCACCTCATTCCTTCTCTTGCTCTTTTTCCATGCCTTCAATACTAAGTGTGGCAGAGCCATGCTTAGACACGAATGGGTTGGCTCGTGCGTGTTGTCTTCCACTCCTCCATCCCTCCCCAAAATCTCTAAATCTCCAGAATCCTACTCCATAAAGAGTGGTAACGAACTAGTAATTCCTCTAAAAACTTGTTAATTTTAAAACTACTTACGTTGCGGTCAAGCGCAATAATAAATGCTGTTGTCTCGGCCTGTAGCAGGAGAAGGAGCAGGGTGGTTTTAAGTCAGTAAGATTCTAAATACTCTCTTTCCCCCAACCTAGGATGAAAGAAGACATCATGATTTTTCCCGCTAGCAAATAATACAAAAAATCCTTGACACTTATTTTCGGCCCACAATTTTTGATAAGTACCAAATGGTGTAAGTCAATAATGGTTTTTGCGTACGACAGTTAATATCATCATTGTCATCATAATGTTGATAATTTATAGAATCAGGCGTTACTTTGCGGAAATCCATGACATTAAATGTTAGGGAAAATATTTAGTTATAATTCCGCGACAAAAATCCAGGCTTGTTGCAGGATGCAATCCCACTCCTATGCAATCATGCATATGCACATGCAGCAAGGGTCCCACCCTCCCGCCCACATGCATATGCACACATACACAAAACGGAAAAACATGCCACGCAATCAAACCTATACTCGACACGTGTTTCGCCCCTCCACAGGGCATCCTCAGGAGATGTTGACTCGACGAGCGCTCGTCGAGTCGTCGAGTGTTGGTCCGTGCAGGAATCGAACCCGCGACACGTTGCACAGCAGCTAGGTGCCCAGCCACTGCATAATGGGTCCAGTCGGTGTAGTCAATAGGTACTTTAATTGTAATGACAAAAACCTTATTTTTTTTAAACCCAGATAATGTTGTACGGTTTTTAGGTCAAATAGCATTTCTATTTCTGAAATCTAAGGTCGAAATATATAAAAAATTGGTAGAGACCTACCTATACAGACCAATCATTCAATGAAAGTATGATAAGTATACCTACTTATGTAGTACATAATTAGTAGTAGTACATAATATACCAATATTTTATATTTTTATTAGGTAGTCCATTTTAAGTATCTATTGAAGAGCCAAACCATTCATTTTTGACCAAGGAAACATGCACCTACCTATGTTAATATTAACATGATTTTTTTAACAAAAGTTTCTTCTCTTCTTTTAAACATTCATAGTAAAAAGTATTTAATCTATTGTCTTCGCTGCCTTTTATGTTGCCGAAATAAAAATGGCCACAGGTGTTGCAAATATAATCTAGGGTTACGGTAACCATTAGGTTAGACAATAGAATAGTACCTAATCCACACAAAACATTATATTGTCTGGTATTCTGTTTTTGAATGAGATGTTATTTTTAACTTTCTAAAGATAAGAGAAACAATAAAACGTTTCCCTTTGAAGTGGCCGCCGCCGCCCGCCGTCGGCGTTTGCCGCTAGGTAGCGACTATTTTTTAGTTAAATGCAAATATTAACATGTGCCTGTTTCAATGTTTATTTTTAATAAATCTCCGTGGTAGTTATGTGTTATGTTTATAGAAAATTAGTTTATTTACCTACCTATACTTATCATTATTACTATCAATGTGAAATTGTAATTAAGTACCTATTAACAAAAGCACAATTCTGTGATAGATAAATAATTACTTAAGAAGTATTCATTAAATTTCATTAACTGTAATACGGTAGTTTCTAACAACTTTTATGAAATATCAATATCGATAATTTTCTTGAAACGAAGTTTGCATGAAAACGTCGTGTCGTTTTGACAAACGACACGACGTTTTCATGCAAAGTCCTACGACGTCATAATATTCTGTTACGTCAAATTTCTTAGGTTATTTATTTCTGAAAAATCTGCTAGAAAAAATCTAAAATACTTATATCGGCCTATTGTGAATGAAAGTATGTTTATTTATGATTTAATAATAACTTATTACAAGTAAGTACTTACGTACTGAAATATCAAACTAATTTGTTTTGACCTAGGAGACTACCCAATTACCTTCAATGCAGACATTAGTAAGTACCTACAAATAGGTAGGTATAGTTTAGTTTGTATGTTCGTCATATTACTTATCTAAGTAATTTATTATCACTATTCGATTAAAACAAGAGTTACATGTGGATTGTAAGATGGATGTGTGAATTTGTGAGACCCACACGTAGAAACTTATGAAGGGAGCGAAATTTATTTTAGACTTGTAGGTACTGCACAGGTGTCGTTGCTGGCAGAAGCTAGTAATAGCCACTTAGGTGTACTTAACGTTATTACAGTTACTTACTATAGGAAGATAAATACATACCTACCAAATAATATATAAGAAACCAAGAACCCAAGTAGGTACTCATCAAAAAATAAGACGCCTCAAAAACCCATAAAATCTTAATAATTATACCTCATGCAATATCTAACTACCCTCTTTTCGCTAGTCTTGTTGTGAGACACATATAAGTAATAGGGATCATCATCATTATCTACGTGCGGACACATAGGTATTAGAATTAATAGAGTACTTTTGCATAAGGCATGGCTTAAATACTTAAGCAAGTACCTAGGTATATACTAACACAAGTTTTGTAACCAACTTTTGTTATGAGATGGTACCTAGGTAAATAGTGGTGTTATTATGAAGCCAAGGTTACGAGTTTGTCAGTACTTTAAGTTTGTACTTGTACGTTAAGTACCTGCACGAGTCAGGGAAGTGCATTCTATGTAGATATTACTTAAGTAGGTACATAATTACAACATCGACAACAGTTTATTGGTTATAAATATAACTAGATACCCAAGGGCCGAAGTTATTAAAACTTGACGTAAGAATATTTCTAGCTGGCACTTAGGTAAATTCGTTCCTACTTATTTACAACTTAATCTAAGACGACGATTTAAGTAAAAATAGAATAAAAAATTCAACCATTTTGGCACTTCCTATTTTATTATACCAAATAGATTAGGTGACTACTCGTTTATTTACGTTGAATTGTGGATAAAAAAACATTGATATGCCTACAGGAAATTTCTCACAAGATGCGCACTTCATTATGGCAGTGTTCATTATTTTTGTTGTAATTAGGCAAATGAAACGCGAGTGCGGCGGAGAGCGGCCGGCGGGCGCAGGCCGGGCGCCGGGGCGGGCCGGCAGCCCGCGCTCATTGGCCGCGCCAGACACCGCCTCCGGCTCGCTCGCCGTCCCACCCGACTGCTACGCTGCCAGCCTCGCTCGCCTCCTTCGACTCGCTCAGTCGCGTCCGCTACGCCGCGTGTGATGTATCTTGTTTCTCGTGCCGGCACCTGTTAACAGAACGGTGGTGTTGTGACTGCGAGTGTATGTGAGATGCTCGGACTGTGATCAAAGCATGGTGAATTACGTCAACCCGCTCGCCATGTACCAAGGCAAGGGCGGGCAGTACGGCAGCGGCTGGTATGGGTGGCAGCATCAGAACTTTGAGGACCAACAGTGGTGTGCGTGGAATGGAGCTCCCGCGGGTGGCGAGTGGGCGCCGGATCCTCATCACTTCCCTAAACGTGAGCCTGGGGAGAGGGAAATAGCAGATTTGCCGTCCCCAGCTCGTGGTGACTTGGCCAGTCCCAGTGAAGGGTCGCCAGGATCCAGGCCTGCACAGCCACCTGCCCCTCCGCGTTCACCATATGAATGGATGAAGAAACCCAACTACCAGACACAGCCTAATCCAGGTTTTTATCTTTTTCAATTTTCTTATAGATTTAAGTTCTATTAGCACGCATTAGCACGCATCATTACAAATACATATACACGTAGATATGTACATAACAAGGTATATTAGTTTATATAGCAACATTGTTGTTGTATTGAGTATAAACTTCACAACGTAGACGGTAAAGTAAAAACTTTAAATACCCACTAAAAGTGCAATCGAAACATTAAGTACTTCACTATGAGCGCATTAAAATAAATAATCTATAATTAATTAAATCGATGACTGAAAAGGACACTGAAATATGTTATCTTTTTAAATTTATCCGAATACACTAGGCATTCAGTTTTAATACTAATGTATTTAACACTAAGAAAGGATTTAAGTACCAGGTTTTAGATTATGATTTACTTAGGATTCTTAGTAATTATTTTAATGAGATATGAAACTTAATTCTTAATCTTTAATTACTTTAAATACCTTATACACATACTGTTTAAAATTGTATGTGGAACATAGGTAAATGTATGTTGGAGTTAATGAGCTGATATATTTTTCATAATTTTGTAAGCCTAGCTAATGTTGAATTAGTTAATCAATTCTCCTATAACAAATCTTTAAAAGTAAACTGAATAAACGGGTAATGATGTCCGCCGTATCGGACTGTAGGCTACGGTAAAGTACATCTTTTTTTTTCTATTATAACGCTTGTATATTTAAGCCAACGTTTCAGTGTAAAGAAAATATATTGAGTCGGCCAATTTGCTATTGTTTTTGTTTAGCTAGAATCCGCCCAAGGCTTTGCTAGCGTAAGAAAAGTAATTTATCCCGCGATTTTAAAAACAGCAGCGTTTAAAATGATAGCTCGACTAAGATGCACAAATCAAGTATAATTTATAGCATATAGTACTTAAGAACATTGTAGCTATTTATATAACCAATTTAAAATATTTAATTAGGTAATTTATGGATTGTTTCATTTTTGTTTCTCACATAAGTATTTCATAAGTAAGGTAGTATTCTAGCAATAGATTGCTTCAAACAGTTTATGTAATGGAGTTAATCCTTGTATTCGATTATCCATAGCAATCCTATATGTTGAATAGGTAGTGATAACGATAACGGCTAAAAGGAAAATATTGATTTCCTTGTTATACTTGTCGCATTCCAATCAAATTGAAACAATAAATAATATATTGAAGCAACTACCGAAATTCAGTTAGTTTTGTTGTTTGGTTACAATAATTAATATTGCTTCAGAAAAGTCATCAGTATGAGTGCGTGTTTAATCGGTTTTAAAACTAATACTACTTACATATGTACGGCTGTGTTCGGGATAACTAGTCTAGTTTCAAATTACGCAAAATATTCATTCGTGCTAGCTAGGCTAGGAATTCATTGAAAAAACATCTTCAATTGAGTTCTTATAAAACAATAAAACTCCGGCAACGCAAGTATGCTTTTTGTAAATTTGGTGATGCGAGTATCCATGGGCGAAACCGATTAGGTACTTATTATCAAGTGATCCTTGTGTTCGTTTGCCGAAATATCCCATAAAAAGTATAAAAGGATTGTCTAGATGCATATTATTATTTTTCTGTAAAACCTTGCACCCAACAACTGACGCATTACTTAATCGGAATACTACTCTATTGACATAATAATATAATGTATGTTACATATTTGCTAGTACCTAGCTTTTAACTAAATAGTTATACACATAGTACTAGTAGTTACTTTAGCACCAAGTAGGATTTAGTTTGATACAAACCTTTTTACAGAATATCTGTTTTACATATTTACACGGAAGACCCATTTTGACCACTTCTTGATAAGTTTATTATTTACTTCATATGTAAATATCATTGTAATATACTAGATACCGGTGAATATTTTGCTTTTCATTAATCACCCCGTCAAAGGAATTAATTATATACTTTGTGATTTCAGTCTGATCTATCTCTGGGCAATTTTTTATGTCAAATATATTCCTTCGTTATGTCCATAATTTTAATAGTTAGACACATATATAACTATTACCAAAATCTTGCTTTGAACTAGGTAATACAGACATCAGCGCATGATTCTATCCCTTATCTACAATACCAATAATGTCGAAAATCTATTGAAGAATTTATCAATTATGGGTAACTTTAGCTGCCGTCTATACAGTTACGTAGACAAAGCAACCTATTCCTTGTCGGCATTTCTTTTATCATAGTCACAATCCGAAGCGGCCAATGACCATAAAAAAGTTAACTATTTAAAAGTTCCACAAAGATGTAAACATTGTTCATTTGATGGCTCCATTAGTTTGGTAATTACTTGGGCGTTATAGTTTTGAAGCTACATTATGAAGTTAGGTGTAAATGACCTTAGGAAACTTAGTACCTATATCTTATTATTAATAAATTGCCTTTAGGGAACTATACATTTGATAACAAGCTTTTAAAAATAATAAAACAATAAATATTTAAAAATGTACTTATATCCATCATAAGCTTTCTAAAGAGATTTAAATAACTAAAATTATACAGCCAATAAAATTCATGACAATTAAATACCATATTTATACCGAAAACAAATAAATAAACAAGTCAGAGCGCCATGATCATCAGCCTATAAGTGCCCACTACTGTTCTCATACGGAGAAGGTTAGAGCATTAATCACCACGCTTGCTCAATGCGGGTTGGTGACTTAAAACTTATAATTAGAAATTATAAGTTCAGGTTTCCTCACGATGTCTACCTTCACCGTATGTCAGTGGTGGCTAAATAATCATAGAAAGTACATATAGCGCCATGCTTCTGCGCAAATTGGTCGGATCGGAGTGATACGATGGCCTCAAAGAATACTGGCACGAAATACCACTACGATTGTGTGTTTCGACGTGTGAGCGAGGATACTGGATATAAAGACTCCTTCTCCTAATAATCCACAAAAGGTAGACAACGCTCTCGTAATTTGGTGCTTTTGGTGTTGCGAGGGTTTAGTGGCGGCGCCGATTGCTCATCACGATTGACCATCAGGTGATCCGTCTGACCATTTGCCGATCTATTATATGTATACGAAAACCCTCACTTATTACAATAACTATTAGTAAAAATGTTAAAACGATATTGTTACAAAAATAATCTAAAATAAGATTAGGGGGTCAGAAATGAGTCTTTTTTTTTGTGAGGGGAAAATCATCGAATGACTTCTCCCGCCCAGGGCCGGGCGGGAGGGAGTGTCACTGACTAAAACTGTTCCTTCTCCTGCTCTGGGCCGAGGTCGCGGTGCCTCATTGCGCTTACCCCGCAACCCCGGCTGGTCAGAAATGAGTCTGGATACCCAAATTAAAACTCAATAATGTATGCCGCATACTCAGACTGTAAAAAATATAAATAGTAATAGATTGATTTATTTATTGTTTTTTTATACAGATCTAGAATTTTGTGATGACAAAGTTATAAAATAATAAAATGTAAATTATGTAGTTGTAAAGTGATGTTCTGAGACGAAAAGAGCACGGTATTTTGATATACATATAGGTAGATAGTATTACCGTGACCAGAGTCTGAATGTTTCTTGAAATTCATACTTTATTTAAATACTCATAGAATTGTTTTACCAATGCATATTGATTTTATATGTACGTTAATATTAAACATTATTGATAATTATTTATTTTTCTTGTGTATTTATGGATGAATAATTGATAAAGAAGCCAATAGCTGTCTACTGGCATGGAAAATGTCAAACCAAACGCGTCTTGAATAAAAACACGTCGACACGAAGTCATAAAACGCTAAAATAAATTTTATTGAGAATTAATAAAATAAAAATGCAAAAGAGGTGTTAAATCAAAATTCAATACTTGTTTATATAGTATTTAGATTTTAAATTTTTTAGGCAAAGTCGTAGAGGACATTTTCAAAATTTTTACATCGTTCAGTTACCTTTTTGATCCCCAATTAGACCTTCCGATTGTTTTAATTTATTGATTAATAAAGCCCAAAACTAATTATGTAAAATGTTTTTACAATATTTTTACTAACTACCTTGTTTTATACCCAATTTATTTTTGTTTTGTGTAAAAACCTTTCAATAGATATCAATACACATAGCTTACTTTATTTGTAATACCAGATTCAATCTTCTTTGTTATTAGATTACTACTAGTACTTCTTTCCATTCACGAGACCACTCGGCCCCGGACCTTTGGAAGGCGTACGAGGAGCCGAAGCCAACTCGCAGAGGCCCGTTGAACAGTTTTAATATAAATGTGATGGGACATTAGCCGGCAATTATCCCTGTATGCACTATAAAAGTTGATGCAGGACTATTGTGAAATGTGGTAAAAATTGATAGAGTTATGGGTATGGGTTCTACTTATTCTATGGCCTCTACTTATTCTTAAGAAATCCAATAGTTCCCATTTTTATCTTTTAAGTTTGATACCAACTTATTCACATATAAATACTCTGTTTATTAGGTAGCCATCGTTTACATCACTCAATGTTATAGTCAATATACATCGTAAATTTTAAATTCATCTACTTTATTTTCGGATATATTGAAGTTTCTTCTATTCATATCAAAACTTATAACTTACAAAACTTATTCGTAATTCATGACACATAATATAGACCCTAACATATTGGTCACGTAGGCGCTTCGTAGCCGTTGCGTAGACGCCGCGTAGTCTTTTCGTAGACGCTGTTTAGCTAAGTTTAATGTTGACGGAACGCACAGAAAACGCTGCTCCTATATAATATGTACATTTTGTGAGAAGGTAATCAAAATTAGTAAGATGGCATTACGTCCTTTTTCCCCTTCTCGGTTAGGTTAGTAATATTCAACAAGATATCCAATTTATGCAGTATGTCATGCGTTTGAAATTTTGTTCCATCTGGTAGTCATCTTATGCAGTGTATATCAGTATATAAACAGTATATAAACCGCGAAGGTACTAACTTTTTTGTCTTTTTGTTTTACTGGTACTAACGTCTCAGGCGTAGGAAGTTCGAAATTAA